TACCACCATCACTACTCCACCAACCACCATCACTACTCCACCCACCACCATCACTACTCCACCCACCACTATCAGTACTCCACTAACCTTAATGTTTCTGGAAAAACTCTGAGTGTTGAAATGGAGGTTACCTCATCCCCAGATTTATACAAGAACCAAACAAGGGATTAGTGTGAGAGTATTATCCTTCCAGTTATGTCTTGGAAGAACATATGGGATGGGATGCAGTACCTGACATTCCTCTGGGTACAGAGTTGGATTTGACTTTAGATACGCCACCAACTAGTGGAGGCGTATCTGAGGCTCACTCAACTTGGATTTTGGCTCGCAACTCAAAGCAAAAAATCGACCGAGCGATGGCTCATAACTCGGAAAATTTGTAAGTTGGGGCACTCGTAAGTCAAGGTATCACCGTATATCTATCTTTCTTCTTTCAACTCACTGGCTGTATCCCCCTGGATTTTTTGGGGCGAAAAAACTTTTTCTCTCAAAATAGAAAATGGTCATGATGACACTGTTGGATCAACAGCTCCCCACAAACATGAAAAAGTCCAGCATATACAGCTTTCGTGGAAGGTTACGTGAGTTTTTACAAATGTGCCATAAAAGGTGCCTCAAAGAGGGAAGAATCAGAAAACAGCATTGTATCAACCTAAAATGGTGTCTATGTTTTTAAGTGCACATTCTTAGGTAGTATAAAAAATATTTCAAATAGTGATTTTTTTTTTTTTGGTAATGTTTAGGTATTTTTCCTAACTTTTTTCAAATTTTTTGTTATTTCTTGTAACTTAGTTATTTTTGATAACTTATTTTTAGTAATTTTTCATGATTTTTAGCTATTTTCCATAATGAATAGTCTTAATAAAAATATTAGTTTCCTCTAATAGGCATTACCGGGAAACGAAGGCCTCATATGATGGTCACATCTGAATGACCCTGGGTTCAATCCCAACACAGGTGGAATTGATGGTCATGTTTCTTTACATCTGCTGCCTCTATTTACTTAGCTACTAGTAAGTTGGTATCTGTGTGCTAGCCAACCTGTGATGTAGTCCAGCTGGGCTTGTGAGGTCTCTGGTGAGACCTAATTTAACCAATTATATGGTCACACCTTGCCTTGGCAAACGTCTGTCAGCCACGCCCGCGTCTGAGGTCTTTTGTTCTTGACGGCGTCAGGTCGTACACGTGGTTGTAGGGTGTGCTTGGACCACCATATAAACCCAAGGAACAGCTGAGCAGAGGAGATTCGGGCAGAGCTCTGGCCTGGGAGCAGAGCTGAGCTGGAGTCTCGGGAGGAGAGACTGTTGGAGACATTGGGCAGAGTACTGGCTTGGAGCAGTACTCGTGCTGTGTAGGTCTTGGGACCTGTGGCTTAGTTCCTGTAGTGAACTGTCCTTTGTACTATACTGTAAGTTGTATTCATTTTCGTCAAGTTGATTGTATTCCCGGTCTCACTGCTTATGTGTACCACCCCATTTATCTAAACCCCAATGATGTACTCCTGTTCCCAAATATATTATTGTACAAGGACTTAATAATAAACTGTGTTTGAGTAGAATAGTAATATTCACTGTCCCCGTTATTTTCTCCATTTATTTATGTTTAGTTAAAGTAGTGAGAGGGTGAGTAGTGTGGAGTGGTGGGTAGAGTAATGAGAGGTGAAGGTGTAGTCACCAGTGACCTCACATTACCTACCAACCTCCGCTAATCATCTCTCCTACCACTTCGCCTGCCTATACATATCCTCTTACTCCCATATTCCCCTAATCATTACCCCCCTACATGACATGGTGTTTAAGCAGTGGTGGTTCTTATTATTTTTATAGTAGGAACCAGTCCCATGTGCCTTATTTTTGACTGCTCGGTTATACTTGTTATGCTACCATTTGCTACCACTTTTTTTTTTCCTTGTGTGTGTAAAGTTAAAGGTGACAGGTCCTTAGCTTCGAACTATAGACCAATAAGCCTAACCTCCATAGTGGGAAAATTTATGGAATCAATAATTGCCGAGGCAGTTCGTAGCCACCTTGAAAAGCATAAATTAATCAACGAATCTCAGCATGGTTTTACAAAGGGGCGTTCCTGCCTTACGAATTTATTAACTTTTTTCACTAAGGTATTTGAGGAGGTAGATCATGGTAATGAATATGATATTGTGTATATGGACTTCAGTAAGGCTTTTGACAGGGTCCCACATCAGAGACATTGAGGAAAATTAAAGCACAGGGAATAGGAGGAGAAATTTTTTTCCTGGATAGAGGCATGGTTGACAAATAGGCAGCAAGATTTTGCATAAAGGGGGAGAAATCAAGTGGGGAAGCGTCACGAGCGTGTTCCACAGGGGTCAGTGTTGGGCCCCCTGCTGTTCACAATCTACATAAACACATAGATGAGGGCATAAAGAGCGACAACGGCAATTTTGCCGATGACACCAAAATGGGCCGTCGAATTCATTCTGACGAGGACATTCGAGCACTCCAGGAAGATTTGATAGACTGATGCAGGGTGGGAGAAGTGGCAGATGCATTTAATATAGACAAATGCAAAGTTCTAAATGTTGGGACAGGACAATAACCATGCCACATATAAACAAATAATGTAGATCTTAATATTACGGATTGCGAAAAGATTTAGGAGTTCTGGTTAGCATAATCTGAAACCAAGAAAAACAGTGCATAAGTGTTCGCAATAAAGCTAATAGAATCCTTGGCTTCATATCAAGAAGCAAAAATAATAGGAGTCCTCAGGTTTTTTCTTCAACTCTATACATCCTTGGTTAGGCCTCTTTTAGATTATGCTGCACAGTTTTGGTCACCGTATTACAGAATGGATATAAATTCTCTGGAAAATGTACAAAGGAGGATGACAAAGATGACCCATGTATCAAAACCTTCCCTATGAGGATAGACTAAGGGCCCTGAAACGCACTCTCTAGAAAACGTAGAATCAGGGGGATATGATTGAGGTTTAATAAGTGGAAGACAGGAATAAATAAAGGGGATGTAAATAGTGTGCTGAAAATACTATCCTAGACAGGACTCGCAGCAATGGTTTTAAGTTGGAAAAATTCAGATTCAGGAGGGATATAGGAAAGTACTGGTTTGGTAATAGAGTTGTTTGGGGAAATGGAACAAACTCCCAAGTACCGTTATAGAGGCCAGAACGTTGTGTAGCTTTAAAAATAGGTTGGATAAATACATGAGTAGATGTGGTGGGTGTGAGTTAGACCTGATAGCTTGTGCTAACAGGTCGGTTGCCGTGTTCCTCCCCTTTAAATCAATGTGACCTGAAACCCGACTAGGTTGGGTGCATTGGCTTAAGCCGGTAGGGACTGGACCTGCCTCGCATGGCCAGTAGGCCTTCTGCAGTGTTCCCTTTATTCTTAAGTTCTTATGTTCTTTAAATATCAGTGTGATATTAAAAATCCTAGTGACCTTAACTGACCTTGTTTTTTTTGAAGGGGGGTCTGAGTAATTGTGTGGTTTTTATTTGGTGATTTGGTTGTTGGTTTGAGATAAATGGTGGAGAATATCAGTATTTGGGTGAGACTTTGAGGGAAGCAATTACTGGCCGAAATTGAATATTTTCAAAGGAATGAGAAGTCACCCAGCCCGCCTTTGGGAAAACTACCCACAACTCCACCCACTGAAGAGAGTGCCTATGATTAATTATCCACCTGATGTGCCAAGTCACCCAGCTGATGTGCCCCAGTAGATGTATTGCTGCCTTGGTCTGTCATCCATTGTAGTGGGTGTCTGTCTGCATCACCCAGCCTGTGACCATCACCCAAGGACTGCCAGTTACCTGCAGTTGCCAGGGATGGGTGACTGCACCTCTGTTAATCACCTGAAGTGACCTCACCACCTCATCTCACCTCGAGCATCTGACCATAGCCTGCTGCTGCTGCTGCTGCTGCTGCTGCTGTCGGCTGCTTATGATGCTGCGGTTTACCGAGATGCTGTAGCCGTGCTGCTATGCTGTGGCCGTGCTGTGTGCTGTTGTGATACGGCCGTGCTGTGATGTTGAGATGCTGCGACCGTGTGGTGATGAGACGCTGCGGCCGTGCTGTGATGCTGGAACCGTGCTGCGATGCTGTAGCCGTGCTGCGATGCTGTGTCCGTGCTGTGTGCTGCTGTGATATGGCCGTGCTGTGATGCTGCCTAGCCCAAGAGGAGATGGCGGTGATGCTGCAGTGGTGTGTGAGGGATTCTGGCTGGTGTGCCAGGACAGGAGAATCTACTATGAAGGAGTTGCCATCCTCGGAGATGTGGAAGGACGTGAGCCGCAGAGATGGAATCCAGCTGCTGGGACCAGCCTGCTTTCAAGGGCGGTATGGAGGTGTATCCTGCCTTGCTGGTCGACCTGTACGACCGGTATGCGGGGATGCCCTGCCAGCCATGAGAGACAATTAAGAGTGTGAGATGTCCCCAGCCTACTTTGACTTGCCAGAAGTGTTAGTGTTACCTGTGTGAAATAAGGCGACCTTGAATACAGTCCAGTGATTATGGCCACCTTGTTTTATAAGGCCAGTGAAACCTAGTAATGGCATAGGATAATGGAGGGTCTTAGCTGCGATGCCTGCCCTGTCTCGATTTTCAGATGTTGTAGTGTGCCGAAAATGCGACCTTGGTGGTCGTGAAGTGGTCCAGTTGCAGTTAATTGAAAGAATGCAACCCGTTGAAGCAGCTTTCCACGCCATAGAAGCCTAGAGAGGTTTGGCCCAATGGATAACGTGCGAGGGTGACTAGCATTGGCTAGTGCATTTCTAGTAGAAGTAGGGAAGGCACTGGAGCCCGATATTTAGGTTTAAGGAGAAATGACGGTTAAGGAGGCTTTGCACCAGAGAGCAACTATAATGCTGGCCAACTGCAAGGTGTACTGATTACGCTGCCTTGTGGTAAATGAGAAGGTTGAGGGAAATATATGTAGTTGAATAATTTTGTATTATGTATAATTTTGTCTTTGTATTGTAAAAAAAATTAAGGGGTTTAAAGGATTAAAACAGTCTAATAACTAGGACAAATTGTCCTAGTTCTCAGATATTTTAAATTGGGGAGAAAGGGGGATGTGATTTAGTCCAGCTGGGCTTGTGAGGTCTCTGGGGAGACCTAATTTAACCAATTATATGGTCACACCTTGCCTTGGCAAACGTCTGTCAGCCACTCCCACGTCTGAGGTCTTTTGTTCTTGACGGCATCAGACCTAGGCGTCAGGTCGTACACGTGGTTGTGGGGTGTGCTTGGACCACCATATAAACCCAAGGAACAGCTGAGCAGAGGAGATTCGGGCAGAGCTCTGGCCTGGGAGCAGAGCTGAGCTGGAGAGTCTTGGGAGGAGAGACTGTTGGAGACATTGGGCAGAGTACTGGCTTGGAGCAGTACTCGTGCTGTGTAGGTCTTGGGACCTGTGGCTTAGCTCCTGTAGTGAACTGTCCTCTGTACTATATTGTAAGTTATATTCATTTTCGTCAAGTTGATTGTATTCCCAGTCTCACTGCTTATGTGTACCACCCCATTTATCTAAACCCCAATGATGTACTCCTGTTCCCAAATATATTATTGTACAAGGACTTAATAATAAGCTGTGTTTGAGTAGAATAGTAATATTCACTGTCCCCGTTATTTTCTCCATTTATTTATGTTTAGTTAAAGTAGTGAGAGGGTGAGTAGTGTGGAGTGGTGGGTAAAGTAATGAGAGGTGAAGGTGTAGTCACCAGTGACCTCACATTACCTACCATATTCCCCTAATCATTACCCCCCTACATGACAAACTGTGGTAGATTGCATCCTGGGAAAGTTTCAAAAAAGCTCGATGGTAATAAGCCACAATGGTTATTGGGTTATTGTGGATTATTCTCTATTCAAGGACTTTATATTTATAATTAACTTTTAATAATGAATTATTACACAATAAGAATGCAAAATACTTTAACAAAAAGCATGTTCAAATGATGTAGCAGAAAATGAGGAACTGCAGAGAACAGAGTTCAATACATACTGTACACTGCAAATATGAAGATGCTTTTTCTAAGTTCTTTTACGTGGGGTGATCTGTGTGTCCAGGATGTTGTCGCTGCTTTATGAATATACCTCTAAAGAGCATATACTGAAATGCATTGAACCCTCTAACTAACAGGGGTAGAGGATATCTGATATTGCTGACTAATTTTTCATGATCGTAACATAAACAAAGTTCTGAATCAGCAGACTTGGTCCACTGATGCAGAAAACAACCAGACACTAAGAATACAGGTATTGCAACCTGTAGAGCTGCAGTACAGTACTGTACAGTAATTTTACAGTACTATACATAATTTACAATAATTTTGCCTATCTTTTTGTGGTGGAAAGATAAGGTGTAAACTGCCGTGATTGGTAGTGGCGACTCAAAAGAACTTATAGTATTATTTTGAGTCATAGTTGTAAAGCTCTAGCAAAAATAATGTAGATAGCTGAGAAGACACACCACTGAGAAGCCAAGCTCAACCTTCTTTATTAGTTCAAGTCTCTGCCTAACACTGAGAACCACATGTTTCCACTAGACACCATTACTTACTTTAGAATCCATTGTTAACTGTGCTGTACTTAATGTTTATAAAGCCACACAAAACACTGTAAATCCAGGGAAAATTGGAGAATGAATGATGAGTGTGTGTGTGAGCACAAACTGGCATGGCAACCTATGGACACGGAACAACGAAAACACACAGGTCCTGAACATGGCCGCTCTGGCCTCTACTGAACAAATATTGGAGTTGTTGAACCGGACACCACTGCTATGGACAAAATCCAATATTAAGGACTTTTGTCCATTTAGTCCAATGCTTCTGCTTGTCTGGCCAATTTTTTTTTGTTAAAAATTTGCAAAATTCCTTAAACAGAGGTTTTACTGTAAAGAATCTTCAAGTTCAATATTTAAAAAATGTTCAAGTGTTAATTAAAATTAAATGTTAAAAAATATTTTGGAAAGCTTTCTGATTTAACAGGTATTGAATATCAGCTAGGTAAACTTCTTTCCAAATAAACAAAAATGGATATTGAAATGTATTATTATTCATGTCAACTACTTATGCAATAAATAAGTTATAACAATACAGTTCATAACAATTAATTTTTAGCTTTATTCTTTCCTTTCACTTCTTTGCCAAGTGTTTTGAGAGCTGCATGTCCTTCAGCCTTAATGTGGCTGAACAATTTATTCTTAGATGGATACATATTGCCGCAGATGGTGCATTTATTTACCTGAAAAAAAAAAAAAATGCATAAATACCTTTAAATTATAAGTGTAATACAGTGGAACTTCGGTTTTCGTATGCCCTAGTCTGTATGTAAAACTATAGTTATTCTCTATAAAATGTATTTTTTGTTAATATTTTTGGGTGTCTGGGATGGATTAATTGGATTTACATTATTTCTTATGGAAAATATTAACAAAAAATACATTTTATAGAGAATAACTATAGCTTAACATACAGACTAGGGCATATGAAATACGAGGTTCCATTGTACAGTACATATATGTATTTGACCCTTAACTGTGGGACAGCCTGGATAAAAAAAATTCATGTGTTTGTAGGGTCAATTCAGTGTCTGAGGTCACTTCAAAGCACTTTTGAAACACTGCTTTGGTGTACAGTTTTTTGAAATTTGAAATGACCTGCTGGTCCATGGGCTGGAGGAGAGGAGTGGTGTTAGGAGGCAAAAACTTGACTTTTATGAAACTAAACTCTGGCACCATTCACTCTTCCAAGTCTGGAGGATGAGCAGGAGCACTGTCTAATACCAGGAGGCACTTGAGTTCCAATTTATTTTCCAGGCGGTATTTTTTCACAGTGGTGCCAAACACGTCATGGAACCAATCATAGCATATGTCCCTCGTGACCCATGCCTTACTGTTTGCTCTCCATTTCACACACAATTTAGTCTTGATGACACTGTTTTTCTTGAACACTCTAGGAGTTTCAGAGTGATACACGAGTAAAGGCTTCACTTTGCAATCCCCACTAGCATTACTAGAAAACATGTTAGCCTATCTTTCATAGGCTTGTGTCCTGGGAGTGCCTTTTCCTATTGAGTAATGTAGGTCCTGTTTGTCATTTTCTTCCAAACCAGGCCTGTTTCATCACAAATGAACACTTGTTGGGGTTTTAACTGTTCAGCCTCTATGCATCCCTTAAATTCCTGCAAATATTTTTCGGTCACTTTATTGTCAGAAATGGCAGCCTCACCATGCCTTATCACAATGTGTATGCCACTACGAGTCTTAAATCTCTCAAACCAGCCTTTGCTGGCCTTAAATTCATCAATATCAGCACTAGTTTCAGGCATTTTCTTTACAAGATCAATATGCAACTGCCTTGCCTTTTAAGATAAGATAAGATTTCGTTCGGATTTTTAACCCCGGAGGGTTAGCCACCCAGGATAACCCAAGAAAGTCAGTGCGTCATCGAGGACTGTCTAACTTATTTCCATTGGGGTCCTTAATCTTGTCCCCCAGGAAGCGACCCACACCAGTCGACTAACACCCAGGTACCTATTTGCTGCTAGGTGAACAGGACAACAGGTGTAGGGAAACGTGTCGAATGTTTCCACCCGCCGGGAATCGAACCCGGGCCCTCCGTGTGTGAAGCGGGAGCTTTAGCCACCAGGCCACCGGGCCACAGTCATATAATTGACTGTGAAACACTATCTCCTGATAATTGTTTCTCGTTGATCCACACCAACAACAATCTCTCCACATCTTCAAGTATTTGCTATCTCTGTTTTGTATGCATACTTGCACCTTTCGCAACAACAGCTTCTTTGATTGCCTTTTTCTTGACCAAGATAGTAGTGATGGTTGTATGGGGTTTGTTATACAACCTGGCCAGCTCGGAGACACACACTCCACTTTCATATTCTGCGATGATCTGTTTCTTGAATTCAATACTAATTCTCACCCTCTTTACCACAGGGCTGGCACTAGATGCTTTCTTTGGGCCCATGGTAGCTTATTTAGCAGTTACAAGCACTTAAAACAATGGGATAATTCAAAATGTATCGCATGCACACGTGGAATTGTCCTCACTGGCTTATAAACAATGGCACACTGGCTGTACATGGAGTGGCCGGGCCACTCAGGCTGCGCAGACACGTTTGGGACGAATGACTTTAACCGAGTTCTTTGTCATTAACTGAGCCAATATTTTGACGCAAAAATTTTACTTAATCCGAATTTTACGTAATCCGATGACGTCATAATCCGGGGGTCCACTGTACGAACAGATGGAAGACCCAAGAGTTGCCCCAAGGTAAAAAAAATATTGGCAGGTGGCAGATTTGCGGGTACGAAAAAGATGCGTACTAGTACATCAGATACAGTATCAGCACCTGCATACTAGTACATCAAACACAATACCAGCACCTGCATACTAGTACAGTGGACCCTCGACTGAAGGCTGCATCGGCTAACGCCAAAATCGGCTAACGGCTCTCTTTGGCGTCAAAATATTGACTCGGCCGATGCCAAAAAACTCGGCTAAGGGCTTTCGTCCCGAATGTCTATGGGGCCTGAGCGGGCCCGGCCACTCCAAGACTGTGTATAGCCAGTGTGCCACTGTTTACAAGCTGTTGCGGTCGATTCCACGGGTACATGCTATATATTATTCCATTGATTTTAGTGCTTGTAAATGTTAAATAAGCCACCATGGGCCCCAAAAAAGCTTCTAGTGCCAGCCCTTTGGTAAAGGATGTGAGAAACACGATAGAATTCAAGAAAAAGTGTGTAGAAAAATACGAAAGTGGTGGTGGTGGTAGAGGGTGGTAGTGATGGTGGTAGAGGGTGGTAGTGATGGTGGTAGAGGGTAGTAGTGATGGTGGTAGAGGGTGGTAGTGGTTGTGATGGTGGTAGAGAGGGTAGTGATGGTGGTAGAGGGTGGTCTGGTGACTCTCAAGCTGGTCATAGTGGCATTAAAAACAAAGAAGGGTGGTAACCCCAGAAAAGGACTTGGTACCTGAAGTATTTATGGAAGGGGATTCCCCTTCCAAACAATAGAACACCTTCATCCTCTCCCCTCCTCCTGTCTCATCACTCGTCAACAAGTCCACAATAAAGGTAAGTGTCATTTCAGTATTGTTTACTGTGCATGTATCATTGTTTTCTGTGTAGGGAAATATATATTTCATGTAAAAAAAAATAATTTTGTTTAATACTTTTGGGTGTCTGGAATGGATTAATTGGATTTCCATTATTTCTTATAGGGAAAATTAATTCAGCTAAAGGCTAGCTCTCTGGAACGGATTAAAGGCGTTAGTCAAGGGTCCAGTGTACATCGGACACAGTTAAAGGGTTAGTCTACTTTATAAATATAAATTATCAGGTTATCTTTGAGGCCTAAAATGTAAGAATACTGTAAATATTTTTTATACATGTTTGCCTATCAAACTCTGTTTATTCTACAATGTAAACAAAAGGTGCAACTTCGGTCATACATCTAAAATAAAAAAAAATCATGGGAGAACTGTTGGTCTTTTCTTCGTCTAATGATTATGTTAGCTTTTTCACTCCAACAGCACATCTAATTATAAAACTCACTTTCCTCCAATAACTCCTATCCATCACACTCACACAAGCCTGTTGGATGTCTTACTCCTAGCACTGAAAAACCTCCCTTACCTCCTCCTCCTTATGTTAGTTTGGAGTTTAACTGGTACCCTGCACTAATCATTCCAAGCACTGAACAAATAAATACAGTGGTACCTCAGGATACGAACAGCTTAAAACTCGAACAATTATGTAAGTGTATTTATGTAAGTGCTTTTGTAAGTGTAATTTTGGGGGTCTGAAACGGATTAATCTAATTAACATTATTCCTCATGAGAACAAATTTTTTCGGTATTGGCACTCGAACAGCCTTCTAGAATGAAATAAATTCATATCCCGAGGTACCACTGTACATTCGTTACAAAATATTTATTTATATTTATTTTTTTTTTTTTTCAACAAGTCGGTCGTCTCCCACCGAGGCAAGGGTGACCCAAAAAAAAGAAAGAAAATCCCCAAAAAGAAAATACTTTCATCATCATTCAACACTTTCACCACACTCACACATTATCACTGCTTTTGCAGAGGTGCTCAGAATACAACAGTTTAGAAGCATATACGTATAGAGATACACAACATATCCCTCCAAACTGCCAATATCCCAAACCCCTCCTTTAAAGTGCAGGCATTGTACTTCCCATTTCCAGGACTCAAGTCCGACTATATGAAAATAACCGGTTTCCCTGAATCCCTTCACTAAATATTACCCTGCTCACACTCCAACAGATCGTCAGGTCCCAAGTATCATTCGTCTCCATTCACTCCTATCTAACACGCTCATGCACGCTTGCTGTAAGTCCAAGCCCCTCACCCACAAAACCTCCTTTACCCCCTCTTTCCAACCCTTTCGAGGACGACCCCTACCACTCTTTCCTTCCCCTATAGATTTATATGCTTTCCATGTCATTCTACTTTGATCCATTCTCTCTAAATGACCAAACCACCTCAACAACCCCTCTTCTGCCCTCTGACTAATGCTTTTATTAACTCCACACCTTCTCCTAATTTCCACACTCCGAATTTTCTGCATAATATTTACACCACACATTGCCCTTAGACTGGACATCTCCACTGCCTCCAACCGTCTCCTCGCTGCTGCATTTACCACCCAAGCTTCACATCCATATAAGAGTGTTGGTACTACTATACTTTCATACATTCCCTTCTTTGCCTCCATAGATAACGTTTTTTGACTCCACATATACCTCAACGCACCACTCACCTTTTTTCCCTCATCAATTCTATGATTAACCTCATCCTTCATAAATCCATCCGCCGACACGTCAACTCCCAAGTATCTGAAAACATTCACTTCTTCCATACTCCTCCTCCCCAATTTGATATCCAATTTTTCTTTATCTAAATCATTTGATACCCTCATCACCTTACTCTTTTCTATGTTCACTTTCAACTTTCTACCTTTACACACATTCTCAAACTCATCCACTAACCTTTGCAATTTTTCTTTAGAATCTCCCATAAGCACAGTATCATCAGCAAAAAGTAACTGTGTCAATTCCCATTTTGAATTTGATTCCCCATAATTTAATCCCACCCCTCCCGAACACCCTAGCATTTACTTCTTTTACAACCCCATCTATAAATATATTAAACAACCATGGTGACATTACACATCCCTGTCTAAGACCTACTTTTACCGGGAAGTATTCTCCCTCTCTTCGACACACCCTAACCTGAGCCTCACTATCCTCATAAAAGCACTTTACAGCATTTAGTAACTTACCACCTATTCCATATACTTGCAACATCTGCCACATTGCTCCTCTATCCACTCTATCATATGCCTTTTCTAAATCCATAAATGCAATAAAATTTTCCCCTACCTTTATCTAAATACTGTTCACATATATGCTTCAATGTAAACACTTGATCTACACATCCCCTACCCATTCTGAAGCCTCCTTGCTCGTCCGCAATTCTACATTCTGTCTTACCTCCAATTCTTTCAATTATAACCCTACCGTATACTTTTCCTGGTATACTCAGTAAACTTATTCCTCTATAATTTTTACAATCTCTTTTGTCCCCTTTCCCTTTATATGAAGGGACTATACATGCTCTCTGCCAATCCCTAGGTACCTTCCCCTCTTTCATACATTTATTAAACAAAAGTACCAACCACTCCAACACTATATCCCCCCCCTGCTTTTAACATTTCTGTCATGATCCCATCAGTTCCAGCTGCTTTACCCCCTTTCATTCTACGTAATGCCTCACGTACCTCCACCACACTTACATTCTGCTCTTCTTCACTCCTAAAAGATGGTATACCTCCCTGGCCAGTGCATGAAATTACCGCCTCCCTTTCTTCCTTAACATTTAAAAGTTCCTCAAAATATTCTCGCCATCTACCTAATACCTCCCTCTCCCCATCTACTAACTCCCCTACTCTGTTTTTAACTGACAAATCCATACTTTCCCTAGTCTTTCTTAACTTGTTTAACTCACTCCAAAATTTTTTCTTATTTTCATTAAAATTTCTTGACAGTGCCTCTCCCACTCTTTCATCTGCTCTCCTTTTGCACTCTCTCACCACTCTCTTCACCTTTCTTTTACTCTCCATATACTCTGCTCTTCTTATAACACTTCTGCTTTGTAAAAACCTCTCGTAAGCTACCTTTTTCTCTTTTATACACACCCTTTACTTCATCATTCCACCAATCACTCCTCTTTCCTCCTGCCCCCACCCTCCTATAACCACAAACTTCTGCCCCACATTCCAATACTGCATTTTTAAAACTATTCCAACCCTCTTCAACCCCCCCACTACTCATCTTTGCACTAGCCCACCTTTCTGCCAATAGTCGCTTATATCTCGCCCGAACTTCCTCCTCCCTTAGTTTATACACTTTCACCTCCCTCTTACTTGTTGTTGCCACCTTCCTCTTTTCCTATCTACCTCTTACTCTAACTGTAGCTACAACTAAATAATGATCCGATATATCAGTTGCCCCTCTATAAACATGTAGATCCTGGAGCCTACCCATCAACCTTTTATCCACCAATACATAATCTAACAAACTACTTTCATTATATTTAAATATTTAAAATATTTATGTAACTACAAAAAAATATGGAAAGCTCAAATATAAAAAAATAATTATGGTTTCAGAGAGACTTAGTTGAAATATGTGTTGTGCTACCACTCACCTGTACATCTTGTTCAACACAATTATTTGCTTCCCGAGCTTGTTTTCTGGCTTCCTTAGCTTTCTTTCCTTTCAACTTTGGTTTGGTTTCAGGTTTCTCATATCTTTCTCTACTATCTGGTTCTAATTTAGTTCTCTCAGTCTTTTTATCTTTATTATCTAAAGGGGTTGAGTCAGCATCTTCATTTTTCTCATTTTTATCAATTTCTTCTTCACTCTCAACCTGTGCAGATATTTCCTTGTTTTGTTCATTTGCTTCATCATGCCCATTAATAACTGGAAGATCACTCTCAGTTTTGCTCTCACTTTCATCAATAAAATTTTTAACATTTATTTCTAATTCATCAACACTTTGTCTGTTTTTTCTCTTAGATTTTTTTCTCTTATCAATGGATTCTGAGACAGGTGAATCAGTAAGCTCTTCTGTTGCAGCCTTTTTTTTCATTTTCTTCTTTTTCTTTGAAGATCTCGGTTGCTCAGCTACATCTTCCTCACCTATAAAAATAAACAAACGACATAACTTTGCTCAAAAAGTTACATTACTCGAGAATATGCACAATGTTTATTAAGTCATCCTTGCAATGGTTTTTGCATCTAAAACAACAAGACACCATTCTTCAAATAACAGAAGATCACTCCCAGATAGCTAAGATTTTCCCACAAATGACACTTTTTAGAGGGTTTCTTAATGTTGAGACTCCACAATTGTGGATTTATGTACCCTATTCTTCCCTCCCATGTCACCAACCCTATCCTTCCCTTCCAGTTAAGGAATTTTGAGCTTCCCTGCCCATTTTCTATTTCCTAAGAATCAAAAGGGTTTAGGATTCTGAGCCTCATAAATTATAGTTCTTGAATTGGGTATACACATATCTAGTACAGGTATTATGCACTCCAAAGGAGGGGGTGTTGGTATTTTTCACAGTTTTTTAACTGTAGTGTAGGCATGCTTCTGGCAAAACACTGATGGAGTGAGTGATGATACAAGCGTTTCTTCTTTTCTGGGGCACCCAGCTTTGGTGGGTGCCCCCTCCCCCCGCCAAAAAAATTATAATTATATCTTACATATTTACTTTTGCTACTGTATCACTCAATGAAAGCTAAACTTTAAATCAACTATTCAGAACACATCTGCTTCTGCACTAGACCAAATTCAGACTAACAATTATTCCACCCTTCCAACAAACATCATTAAAAACAAATACAATAAAATTCAGACTCTACAATATATTATGAAGACAAAATTAGCATAACCATAAGTATTAAGAATGCACAGCTCTGAACTGGAGCTATTCAATATCCAAAACATCATTATAGGTATAACAAATTTCATCAATGAAGTACATCTTTAACCCTTTGACTGTTTCAGGTCCCTCTCTGAAACTGTCATTCTATGTCGCCAAATATTCGAAAAAAAAAAAATTTCTTATGAAAATGTTAGGAATATTTTTCTGAGTGTTTTAAGCCTAAAAAAAAATTTTGCCATCAGTACTTACCGAGATATAGAGCCACAAAGTTTGCAGAAAGTGACGTGCGTACGGCAACAGTGGCGACTGCCGCCCACCCGGTATTCTTTTATTTACTCTAATTCAAAGGTTTCTTGCATTTTTCAATATTTTTCTGTTCCAGGTAACTTATGTGGCCTGTGAGACCAATGTAAGGTGCATTCTTCAAATATACACTCATTGTTTACAACACAATAACTGAACAAACTTTATCACTATTATCACCATTAGTTTGTGTATACACTTTGTTTACACAAAACAAACAATACAAAACAATGTTTATTACTATTGTTCCTAGAACTGCTGCAGCTTGTGGAACTCTTTGAAACATGGGTATATGCAGAGTGGCACTTGACACTCCTAACACATAAAACGAGTGTCTCTGCGTGTTTGTGGGCGTTTTGTGGTATGCATACATATATAACACCTCTTCTGAGCATTTTTCTTGGCAGTAGTAGGAGGCAGTTGCATGGGGAAGTGATCACCAGGCCTGAAACGAGATGACGTGTGTTGGTAATTTCGTGGGCGCTGGTCTATTGCAGGTGTTGCTCCTTGGTGCTTTGCAATTATTTGTCTGATTACTGACAAGCAAAATTCACCATATTTTGGTGTTTTGTTGGTCTTCAACTTGTATATGTATAAGCATTCAGCATAGAGATATCAACAAGAGGAAAAAAAGTTTTATATACCACTTATTAACTCTTGCGTACACAGTCTGCAAACCCAATCTGCATGTCACATTTGTCCATAAGCGATATTGAGGTTGTAGTCCTGACAGCTGCAGGCTTTAAAAATGGGTTCATTGGTCTCTCTGTTGTGCCTGCCACTGTGTACCATTTGTTTTCAGGGGAACTGATGTCAATAATGTGACATCACGTTTGTCATGCCACCGAAATGCCATGATGTCATTGGCAGCAAAGGCTTGCCCCTGACCTCTGCGAGTACCAGCGTCGAACCTTGGCATATGTTTACGATTACGACGCACTGTGCCACCCCACGTCTGTCAAGTTCACTCACAAGAAATCACGGAGTAAGGGGCTTGTGTACCAGTTATCAGTAAATACATTGCCCCTTACCAAGATATGGTTCCATCATTGTTCGAACCACATCCCAGAGATACCCAATAATTCATGGTATCTCTCAAAGTATTACTGCCGTGTCCCACAAGATATCCAAAAACTAGACACTTCTGCAATCCACGTACAAATAGCTTTATACCAAAGCGTTTCCTCTTGCTTGGTATATATTGCTTGAATGAGAGTTTCCTTTGAATAAAATCAAGGACTCATCAATAACAAGCTTCCTGAAGGATAAAAATACATGCAGCACTTTTGTTTCAGGTAATAAACACATTTCTTATCTTATATAACCTGTCGCTTCTGTCAGGCCTGGTTTTTTTTGAAAGTGTAACATACGTAACAGTATCAGGGAAAAGACTGACACCTATAATGTCACTAAAACCTGGAGTTGAAATCAGGCGTTCTGTTGCCCAGTTTTGTGGTGACAGTGTGCTTATACACATGTGGCATAAGCATTATTGTGGCAAAAAAACAGGTACATCTCTGCCCAGTTGTTTCTTCACTTGTGTAGCCGTGATTTTGGTGAGAGAATTGTATTTGCCATGGTGTAATCACAGCATGTGTTTGTTTCCCTGACAATAAAGTCCATCAGGGTTCATCAAAGAATAACTCAAAAGCAGTCCAGTTCACTGGCATTGTTCCCAAGTGGACATGATGGGCTTTATTCCACTTTGTGTTTCATCAAAGTTTATGGGGACTGGGAACAAATCGTCACCGTTCTGCCAATCCCAGATGCGGTCTGCTGGTGGGGTCTGGATATTTTTACCGTGGTTGTGGTTTGTCAGGTTGTGGGAGTGTGGGGTCGGGTGAGGCTGGTTGTTGTGCAGAGTCAGCAGGTGGGTAGTAGTTCGTGGCCCTGATGGTGCCACATGGGCCGTGCCACCCTCACTATCACCACCACTGCCTGCTCCCTCCTCACATCATTCTACCCATCGTTACAATATAGTCATCTTCACTATCAGGTCGTGGTGTTAGGGGCCCTGGGATGTGCTCCAGAGTTTCTCCTTCCCCTTGGAACAACATATGAAACACTACCAGATCGCATGCTACCCTCGTACATACTGCCGCTTCACTGGGGGGAAAATTCACCCCCACTGTCACTAGAACTTTTCTTTCAATGACCTTGAAATCACTATCACTATCACATTCACTGCTATCATCTGGGTGTTTGTACACGACCAAATAGTTTCCTTTTCGTCTGGTACAGGCGAAAAGTTTAACGTGACAAGTCGGCCCAGCACAGAGGTGGAAGGTTGTGGGTCAACTGGGTTTTTCATCACTAATTTTCGTTATCCTGGGACTTTTTTCAGTAACACTCACTTCAAAACCCTGGAATTCACTGTCACTGACATTTTCATCGCTGTTAGAGCTATCACTTGGGAACAAAAAACCTCCAATCCGCCGAGGAGTGAGGAACTTCTTACTGAGAATCATGGTGAAAATGGACTAACAAGATGGCGTTCCCACAATGCACCGCTGGGTCCCAGATTTTTTTCACAGGGTGCACACCGACCACTGAGACCCATTCTCTCTCATGTAGGCCTACCATGCCTTTCCCGCTTGATTTGAAGCCGCTAGAATTTGTGCGTATGAATACGTCAGAAACATTGGCTCGTAAGACATATTTATACGTCGTAAACAGTCAAAGGGATAAATAAAGCCCTAATAGCTCAACTAATCATGCTGATTAAATTATTCTAATTTTAACTCATGTACATCTGCCAAGGCAAGGTGACTCAAAGAAGAAAATATTCATTAACTCAATGACAATATTTACATACACTGAATAAAAACATGACTGAAAAATGAATAGGCTAGGACTAATTCCTAAAGTTAACAAAAAGTACTGTATTCCTGAACACTTATTAGCCTAATCATAAAATCCAAATACATAGATATAGTACAGTGGAACCTTGACTTACAAGTGTATCAACATACGAGTTTTTTCGAGATATGAGCTGTCAATCAGTTGAGCCAATGTCCGAGTTAGGAGAGAGCTTTCGCCGCTTCCCCCTTAACCCACAACCCGCACACCTCGCTTGTTTATCCATGATTTCATGCTCTGATTCCATGGACATCATCCTCTTTTTCTTCTCAGCACTGTCCTTTGCACTTACTTTCCTAGGACCCATGGTTAGAGAAAAGAAATTTGGCCAAACAACTCTAAAAAATGCAAGCAAACATGAGAGAAATGCTTCCACAGTGAGGTAAACAGTGCACTGAGTTGGTGGCGTTCTGAAGCTCCTCATTATTATTTATTCTTTTTTTTTTCAACAAGTCGGCCGTCTCCCACCGAGGCAAGGGTGACCCAAAAAAGAAAGAAAATCCCCAAAAAGAAAATACTTTCATCATCATTCAACACTTTCACCACACTCACACATTATCACTGCTTTTGCAGAGGTGCTCAGAATACAACAGTTCAGAAGCATATACGTATAAAGATACACAACATATCCCTCCAAACTGCCAATATCCCAAACCCCTCCTTTAAAGTGCAGGCATTGTACTTCCCATTTCCAGGACTCAAGTCCGACTATATGAAAATAACCGGTTTCCCTGAATCCTTCACTAAATATTACCCTGCTCACACTCCAACAGTCGTCAGGTCCCAAGTATCATTCGCCTCCCTTCACTCCTATCTAACACGCTCATGCACGCTTGCTGGAAGTCCAAGCCCCCAGCCCCCAAAACCTCCTTTACCCCCTCTTTTCCCAACCCTTTCGAGGGGCGACCCCTACCCCTCCTTCCTTCCCCCATAGATTTATAGCTTTCCATGTCATTCTACTTTGATCCATTCTCTCTAAATGACCATACCACCTCAACAAACCCTTTTTCTGCCCTCTGACTAATGCTTTTATTAACTCCCCCCTTCTCCTTTTTTCCCCCAACCCCAAATTTCTGCAAAATTTTTACACCCCAAAATTCCCCTTAGACAGGAATCCCCACTGCCTAAACCCGTCTTCGCTGCTGCATTTCCCCCCCAAGCTTACATCCATATAAGAGTGTTGGTATATTTAACTTTCATTCATTCCCCTTTTTTGCCTCCATAGTAATGTTTTTTTACTCCCCAAATTTCCCCAATGCACCATCACCTTTTTTTCCCCCATCAATTCTATGATTTTAACCCCATCCTTCAAAATCCATCCCGGGCAGTCAATCCCAGTATCTGAAAAATTCACTTTTTCATACTCTCCTCCCCAATTTGATATCATTTTTCTTTATCTAAAAATTTGATACCCCCATACCTTACTCTTTTCTATGTTCCCCTTTTTATAATTATTTTATTAATTTTAAAGGGAATGGAGCACAATTCCCCAAATTCCTAGACGAAAGGTCCTCACCCGCGTCAGGTTTTTGATCCCCAGTGAGGGCTCTTGATCTAGGGAATTGGATTTTTTCCTGTCTATTCTCTTCTGTCTGGGTTCCTCTCTCTTCTTCACATGCAACATAAGTATAGTTATTATAATAGTGTAAATTACCTAGGAAACCCAAAAATTCAGGCAAAGATAGATAGCGAAGACAAACATGTTTTTTATCAGTGAAAAACAAATTAAAAACCCGGGTTCCCTGGCTCCTTTATCAAATGTCACTGAGCTGTCAACAGTTGTATAAACCCATTCTTAAGGGTTTCATTCATTACTCCAGGCAGACAGTAAGCAGTAAGCAGAGCGACAGGCAGATAGACAGACAACACACACAGGCGAAGCAGCAGACCATACAAGACGTTTGTGTAACAGTGATAAAAAAAACAGCGAGCAGGGGCTTTATCAAATGTCACTGGGCTGTAACGCCTTTCATAACACAGCTTAAAAGGGATTGCCAGGGTTCTGAAACATTGCTGTGCCCATAAAAACTTTTTTTATATTTTTTTTTTTTTTTTTTTTTTTTTTTTTTATTACACCCCCCCGGCGATTCCCCCAAAGGGCGGGGGCCCGAAAAAAAAAATTTTCACCATCTTTCCCACCCTCACGTTTGCCGAAGGGTGCTTTACACTACAGTTTTTAAACGCAACATTAACCCCCCTCCTTCAGAGTGCAGGCACTGTACTTCCCATCTCCAGGACTCAAGTCCGGGCCCTGCCGGTTTCCCTGAATCCCTTCAAAATGTTACTTTGCTCACACTCAACAGCACGTCAAGTATTAAAAACCATTTGTCTCCATTTACTCCTATCAAACACGCTCACGCATGCCTGCTGGAAAGCCCAACCCCCTCGCACACAAAACCTCCTTTACCCCCTCCCTCCAACCCTTCCTAGGCCGACCCCTACCCCCCCTTCCTTCCCACTACAGACTGATACACTCTTGAAGTCATTCTGTTTCGCTCCATTCTCTCTACATGTCCGAACCCCCTCAACAACCCTTCCCCAGCCCTCTGGACAACAGTTTTGGTAATCCCGCACCTCCTCCTAATTTCCAAACCGAATTCTCTGCAAATATTCACACCACACATTGCCCTCAGACATGACTTCCCCGGGGCCTCAGCCTTCTCCTCCCCTGAAACATTATCCCCCACGTTTCCCACCCCCTTAAAAGGGAGGTTGGAAAAAACAAATACCTCATACTTCCCCTTTTTTGCCCCCAAAGGGGACAAAGTTTTTGGGTCTCCACAGACTCTAAGTGCCCCCACTCACTCTTTTTCCCTCATCAATTCTATGATTCCCCTCATCTTTCTTTAGACCCACCCGCGGGACAGTCCCACCCCCCAAATTAAATTTAGTTAACTCCTCCATACTCCTCCCCCCAAATTGGATATTAAATCTTTCATCCCCAAAATTTCTTTTTGTTACCCTCAAAACCCTTACTTTTCCTGTTTTTTCCCCTTTTAAATTTTTTCTTCTTTTGCACCCCCTCCCAAAAATTAATCCCCCAATCTCTGCAACTTTCTTTCGAATCTCCCAAGGAGCACGTGTCATAGCCAAAGAGCAGCTGTTTACAAACTCCCACTTTGTGTGTGGGTTCTTTATCTTTTAAACTCCACGCCCCTTGCCCAAAACCCTGCTTTACTTCTTTACAACCCCCCTCTTTTAAATATTTTAAAAACCACGGTGACAAACACCATCCTTGTTTTAAGGCCTACTTTTACGGGAAAAATTTCCCTCTTTCCCACTACTCTTTCTTGAGCCCCACTATTCCCCCCCGTTTTTAAAAATCTTCACTGCTTTCAGTAACCCACCTCCTACCCATACACTTGCAAACTGCCAATTTCCCCCTATCCCCCCTTTTTCATAGCCTTTTCCAAAAAACCCTAAATGCCCCCCAAAGACCTCTTTAGCCTTATCTAAATATGTTCACTTATATGTTTCACTGTAAAAAACCCGGTCCACACACCCCCCAACCCTTTTCCCAAAGCTCCTTTTTTCATTGTATCCTATTCTCCCTCTTTTCTCTTAATTTTTTTTCCCAAATTTTAACTCTACCATACACTTTTTCCAGGGGACACTCAAAAGAAATTTTTCCCCCCATTTAAATTTTTTCACTCTCTTTTATCCCCCTTTTCCCTTATACAAAGGAAATTTTGCCTTTCTCTTGCCAATCCCTAGGTAACCCCTTTCCCCCCTTTTTTACATTTTTTAAATAATTGCACCAACCCCTCCAAAACTATATCCCCCCCTGCTTTTAACATTTCTATCTTTATCCCCTCAATCCCGGCTTTCCTTACCCCCTTTATTTTACTACTGGCCCCGAACTTCCCCAAAAATCAAAAACTGGCTCTTCCTCACTCCTACAAGAAGTTATTCCTCCCCTTTCCCTTTTACACGAAATCACAGCTTCCCTATCTTCATCAACATTTAACAATTTCCCCAAAATATTCCTTCCCCTCTTCCCCAAAAAACCCCTAACTCTCCATTTAAAAAACTCTCCCCTTTCCCATTTTTAACTGACAAATCCAAATTTGTTTCTAGGCTTTCTTAACTTGTTAATCTCACCCCAAAACTTTTTCTTATTTTCAACAAAATTTTTTGATAACCCCCCACCCACTCTCCATTTGCTCTCTTTTTACATTGCTTCCCCACCCCCTTTTAACTTCTTCTTTTTCTCCATAACTTTTCCCCTCCTTGCTCACTTCTACTTTGTAAAAACTTTCATATGCAACTTTTCTCCCTTACTACTTCTTTACATCATCATTCCACAATCGCTCCTCTCCCTCCTGCACCCACTTTCCTTTTAAACCCCAAAAATTTTGCTGAAATCTCTAAAACTACATTTTTAAACCTACCCATACCTCTTCACCCCCTTCCTACTTCATTCCCTCTTCCTCCAATGCTTTTATATCTTTCCCTAACTGCCCCCTCTTTTAGTTTATAAACCTTCCCTCTCTCTTCCCGATGCTTCTATCCCTTGTATCCCATCTCCTTTTTTCTCTCAGTTAGCAACAACAGAAAGTGATTGATATATTGTGGCCCCCCAAAAATGTACACCTGAAGTCTACTCAACGTCTTTTATCTACCAAAACATTTACTATTTACAATATAAATTTCCCCGGCAGGCGAAAAGTTTACCTGTCAATGTGACTGTACTATTTGACCTATTCGTACTTAATATTAGTGTTTTAAAAAAGATTGGCTATGAAAACACGAGAAAAAAAAAGGTATATCAGCAACACTTCTGGAAGCGGGAGGAGTCGATGTTGCCGTCAGGTGAGCATCAAAAACCAACTTCATGGTCTTATATCTCAGTAAGTACTGACCCTAATTTTTTTTTTTAATTCTATAACATGTAGAAAAATGTGCTCTTCATTAAAAAAAAAAAAAAAATTTTTTTCAAAATATTCAGAGCGCCACGCGAGTAAACACAGATCTATGTTTGGACAGTTTAAGGGTTAAGCCACAATCTCTGCAATAAATAATGATTTTATTTTATTTTTTTTGTTTCCCACCAAGTCAGGGTGGCCTGAAAAAGAAAAACTGTCATCATTCACTCCATCACTGTCTTGCCAGAGGCATGCCTACACTACAGTTATAAAACTGGAGCATTAACACCTTTCCTTCAGAGTGCAGACACTGTACTTCCCATCACCAGTAGGTGAAATACTCCACCATCATACACAAGAAAGCTTTCAAATTATTATTGCTAACCATTGCAATACTCTTTTCAACAAATTACATTTGATTCCAAATTTTCCTTCATGCACTGCAAATTTCCTAAAAAACTTTGTAATCTGATGAGTATTAAGCTTATGATATTTGCCTTCCTATCATTATCCATGTAAATATAAATCTAAAAATATAGTATTTTTCCTTATCTCAGACATTGGCAGAATATCTTACTTTGTGAATTATCTTTCACCGTCTTGGAATCATGACAATCAGCTGTAAAATACAATTCTTCATCTGCAAACATTGTAGCTTTAAGTCTCTCCAAGTTTTCTTTGTGTTTTTTAGACCGTTCATGACTTTCCTTCCTGAGGAAAAAACAAACAATATATTTAGTGAAAAAACTGCATAAAAAAAGACTTGTAACACTCAAATCCCAGGATCTAATAAAACAAAATACAATCCCGCCAAAGAAAATAAACCCACCAACTCAAGTCACTAATTTAAAATAAACCCAACAGCTTCTCAACCAAAGGATTAAATCTAGCCAACATCAGAAATTATTTTACAGTTAATCACCATTTTTACTTATACTTGGCTACAACCATGCCTCAAAAAACTGTATTACAATGACTAAAATATAAAGAATCAATAAATCTGAAATGCCATTATATTTAAGAAAGTTGCATAGGTGGTATCACCTGCCATTGCAACACTTTTAAAAAAATATCTTGATTCCAAAATATTCTCAAACACACACACTGGCGAGCCAGGATCACACCAATCCACAAACGTGGAGATCCACTAACAAACCACAGATCAATATCTAACTACCAAATACTAAAAAAGTATGAGAAATTAATATATGTACAAGTTAATACACTATATTATTACATAACAAATTGCAACATAATAAACCCAGGAGGAAGAAGAGGAGGATGACAATGGTGGCAGCAGCAACTGCCAACTAGTAAAGATAGATAAATGTGTACAAACACTGAGTAAAAGGAAAATAAGTCACTAATACAATTTTGTGAAAACACAATGTAGAGTAACAACTGCAAATTTCTATAAGTGACTGGACAATAAGTATGAAATAGATCCATCAATATATAAAATATTTCAACATAAATGCAGTTATCTAATTACATGTACTATACACAGCTAAACAATAAAATTAAATCAATACTTAACGATTTTTCAGTTTTGAAATATCTGTTACAGGCCACACAATACAAGTTATCTAGAAGTCTCTCTTCACTTTCTTCAAGGTCTCCCTTATCTTCTCTTAATTCATTTATTTCCACTTCATCCTCCTCAAGATCATCATCACTATCACTTTCTGTAAGGCCCCACTCATTGGCAAACTTTTCCTCCATTGCCTGTAAAACAGAAACAAATCTATTTATTGTCAAAGCTGCTCCATTCTTCAATTACGCATGCAAGTTAATTTACTGTCAAATGACATAAATAAACCATCATTCATTCAAATGCTGTCTTACCAGCATGTGTGTCAACAGTGCAATTCAGATTACCTTCCAACTGTAACATCCCTACCCATCCTCCAGTGCAGGTACTGCCTTTTCCATGTACAGGACTTAAGTTTGGCTAACCAGTTTCCTTGAATCCCTTCACAGAAGTTACATTGCTCTCCAGCAGCACATCCATTAAAAATTACTCATCTCCATTCACTCCAATTTAACACAATTACACAAGCCTGCTGGATGCTCAAGCCCCTGAAACTCAATGCCTCTTTTACCTCCTCCCTCCAACAATTCCTGGGATGATCCCTACCCCTCCTACCTTTCACTCACAATTTACACACACTCTTCATCAACCTATCCCTTTCCCTCTTCTCTACATGCACAACCCACCTCAACAAACTCTCCTCAACCCTCTGAATTATACCCTTGGTGACTACAAATCACCTTTTACTTTATACACTATGAATCCTCTGCATATTCAAGCCACACATTGCTCACAAATGACATTTCCACTGCCTCTAGCTGCCTACTCACTGCAATATGCAAAACTCATGCCTCACATCCATGAAAATGTTGACACAATTAGACTCTGGCACATTTTCTCTCTTTTTGCCACCATAGCTAAACTTTTCTTTCAACAGATGCCTCAACAACACACCACTCACCTTTTACTTCCCTCAATTACTCTATGGTTCACCTCATCTTTCACAGAGCTATCTGCTGATATGTCCAATCCAAAATATGTAAATGCACTTCCAACATGCTTCCTTCCTTTTGTCTATTACCGCTAGACTTTTTTCTTTATTACCCTCGTAACCCTTCTTTTTCTATGCTCATTTTTACCTAACTTTCCAAATTTGCTCACCAACCTTTGCAACTTGTCTTCAGAATCTCCAAAAAGAACTGTTATCAGCAAAGAGAACATATTTATTATATGGAGAAATACTGAAACCATTAACATCATACAACATCTGTGGAATGGAAGGAGTTGGGTGGAGGTAATGAGGTTTGATTTAAGGAAGGGGAAAGTACCTCCAACTCCTTGAATTGAGAGTCTTTCACCAGCTTCAAGGGACCATTTAGCAGAGAAGTTCCTACACCTTCAACATACCTTGAGTTCATCTTCATAAGCTGCCAAGTTAGCTTTCTCTTGCTCAATATCTTCCTTCATCTTCATTTGTCTTGCCTCTCGCTGCCGGCGTTGAGCTGCTTCTTGTTTCTGCGCATTTTCAACTATCTTGGCTTCAATAATTTTCTTACGGAAATATAAAAAAAATAAGTTAATGTTTAAATCATCAACTTTAAATTCTCTTAAATTTTACAAATGTTCTCATTATGATATATTATGCTTTAAATTCAAAAACAAAAAATGTAATGACAAGAAAAATATGTGCAACTATATATAGTTAGTTGAATAGTATATTAAGAATTATTAAATGTATAGGCCTAAATGTATGATTTATGAAGAAGCTATAATTCTGATAATCCAGCTACGCACACACGCTGACATTCATACAAAAAATGACACACACACACACACACACACCACTCTAGTAGCGATCAGTGAAGAGGCGGGGCCAGGAGCTCGGACTTGACCCCCGCAACCTCAACTAGGTGAGTACAACTAGGTGAGTACACACACACACACATACACATCTTCTTGGACCACAAGAAGGCCTTCGACACAGTTCCTCACAGGAGATTAGTGCAGAAGCTAGAGGATCAGGCACGTATAACAGGAAGGGCACTGCAATGGATCAGAGAATACCTGACAGGGAGGCAACAACGAGTCATGGTACGTGATGAGGTATCACAATGGGCACCTGTGACGAGCGGGGTCCCACAGGGGTCAGTCCTAGGATCAGTGCTATTTTTGATATATGTGAATGACATGATGGAAGGGATAGACTCTGAAATGTCCCTGTTTGCAGATGATGTGAAGTTAATGAGGAGAATTAAATCAGATGAGTATCAGGTAGGACTTCAAAGAGACCTGAGCAGGTTGGGTGCCTGGTCCAGCAACTGGCTTCTCGAATTTAACCCTGCCAAATGCAAAGTCATGAAGATCGGGGAAGGGCAAAGAAGACCGCAGACGAAGTATAGGCTTGGTAGCCAAAGACTGCAAACCTCACTCAAGGAGAAAAATCTTGGGGTGAGTATAACACCGAGCACTTCTCCGGGAGCACACATCAACCAGATGACTGCTGCAGCATATGGGTGCCTGGCAAACCTGAGAATGGCATTCCGATACCTTAGTAAGGAATCATTCAAGACACTGTACACAGTGTACGTCAGGCCCATACTGAAGTATGCAGCACCTGTTTGGAACCCACACTTGATCAAGCACGTCAAGAAATTAGAGAAAGTGCAAAGGTTTGCGACAAGGTTAGTTTCAGACCTAAGGGGAATGTCCTACGAAGAAAGGTCAAGGGAAATCAGCCTGACAACACTGGAGGACAGGAAGGTTAGGGGAGACATTATAACGGCATACAAAATACTGTGTGGAATAGACAAGGTGGACAGAGACAGGATGTTCCAGACAGGGGACACAGAAACAAGGGGTCACAATTTGAAGTTGAAGACCCAGATGAGTCAAAGGGATGTTAGGAAGTATTTCTTCAGTCATAGTAGTCAGGAAGTGGAATAGCCTAGCAAATGAAGTAGTGGAGACAGGAACTATACATAGCTTTAAGATGAGGTATGATAAAGCTCATGGAGCAGGGAGAGAGAGGACCTAGTAGCACTCAGTGAAGAGGCAGGGCCAGGAGCCGAGTCTCGACCCCTGCAACCACAATTAGGTGAGTACACTCTACCTCTGCAACCACAATTAGGCGAGTACACTCGACCCCTGCAACCACAATTAGGAGAGTACACACCAACTTTATTACAACTGGCTCCTGGAGTTCAACCCCACCAAATCCAAAGTCATGAAGACTGGGGAAGGGCAGAGAAGACCACAGATGGAGTACACTCTAGGAGGCCACAGACTACAAACCTCACTCAAGGAAAAGGATTTTGGGGCGAGTATAACACTGGGCACATCTCTGGAGGCGCACATCAGCCAAATAACTGCTGCAGCACACGGGCGCTTAGCAAACCTAAGAACAGCATTCCGACATCTTAATAAGGAATCGTTCAGGACCCTGTACACTGTGTACATTAGGCCCACATTGGAGTATGCAGTACCAGTTTGGAACCCACACCTAGCCAAGCATGAAAGGAAGCCAGACAAAGTGCAAAGATTTGCAACAAGACTAGTCCTGGAGCTAAGGGGTATGTCCTAGGAGGAGAGGTGAAGGGAGATGAACTTGATGACATTGGAAGACGGGAGAGATGGGGGGATATGATAACTTATAAAATACTGAGAGGAATAGACAAGGTGGACAGAGACAATGTTCCAGAGATGGGACACAGCAATAAGGGGTCACAGTTGGAAGTTGAAGACTCAGATGAATCACAGGGATGTTAGCAAGTATTTTTTCAGTCACAGAGTTGTCAGGAAGTGGAACAGTCTGGGAAGTGATGTAGTAGAGGCAGGATCCATACACAGCTTTAAGAAGAAGTATGATAAAGCTCACGAAGCAGGAAGAGTGACCTAGTAGCAGCTGGTGAAGAGGCAGGGCCAGGAGCTGTGACTCGACCCTGCAACCACAACTAGTTGAGTATGCACGCGCGCACACACACAAAAATCGGCGTGATGACACGAAGACAGGAGGGTTAGGGGAAACATAATAGCAACATGGGATGTTATGAAGTATTTCTTCAGTTATAGAGTTGTCAGGAAGTGGAATAGTCGAGCAAGTGATGTAGTGGAGGCAGGAACTATACATAGCTTTAAGACAAGGTATGACAAAGCTCAGGGAGCAGAGAATCTTGTCCTGCCTCCAAACAAACTCCTCCTCCTCTTGGAACGGATTAATTGTATTTACATTAATTCTTATGGGAAATATTGCTTTGAATTTAGGCCGACCTTCTGGAATGGATTACGACTGAAAAACAAGGTTCCACTGTACCAGTGTATCAGGAAAGAAGAAAAATCAGAGAAGACAAAAGACAAGTAGTATAAAAAACAAAGCAAAAGGATGGTGTTTAAATATAAGAAAATAGAAGGTGGTGCTGCAGTGTGTGTGACAGAGAATGGAATCATCAGAGAAGGACATCACTGTACTATAACTGACTAAGACAGCACTGTCTCTGCTAACAAAAGCCAACTATTGAACTACTGTATTTTCTGGCATACAAGGCAGACCTTTTCTCATTGAAAAGAAAAAAAAACTTGGAAAATCACCCTGTGCCATATATGCTCAAGGTCAGGAACAAGGGTAGGCTTTGGGTTATGGGCAAGTGGTGGTTTCAGTGCTGTGGTGTTGGTAAACTAAATTAAGTAACCCCCGCTTACAAAACTGTTCCTCAGGTTACTTTTGAGTGATTAGTAACTATTATAAAATATAATTTATATATTACCAGTATGTAAAAAGCAAAGAAGCTTCAACAGTTGTAAATAACTGTAAAGCAGCCATCAGTCAACAATCGACAGCCAAACTGGGGTGCACCTTATATGCTGGAAAATACAGTAGTACATACTTAAAATGGAGCAATTTGTTTGGAATCAGTTTATAAATTTTTTTAGTGTATTTAATTTGTCTCCTACTTCAGTTTATTTCAAAGCCCAGCCCTATCATGATGCCAGCAATATGCCAATTAACACCCATCTACCTATTTACTGCTACATGAACAGGGGGCGAGAAGTGTACAGATTTGCCCATATGGAAATGAATCTAGGTGCAAAAGGTGATACCACTGAGCAGCAAGCTATATGTCAATCCCACACTCTTTTTCTTATCATTTATTATCTTTCTCTTCCTATTTTAGTCATGACATTAATTCATTAATTTTTAATACAAAATCTGACTCCAATGCATGACTAAAAAATGTTTCTTTACCATAATTCACTAACATACCTGGCCCTAAGCGAAACAAAGCTGAAGGGGGTAGGGGAGTTTCGGTGGGAGGAAATAAATGGGATTAAATCTGGAGTATCTGAGAGAGTTAGAGCAAAGGAAGGGGTAGCAGTAATGTTGAATGATCAGTTATGGAAGGAGAAAAGAGAATATGAATGTGTAAATTCAAGAATTATGTGGATTAAAGTAAAGGTTGGATGCGAGAAGTGGGTCATAATAAGCGTGTATGCACCTGGAGAAGAGAGGAATGCAGAGGAGAGAGAGAGATTTTGGGAGATGTTAAGTGAATGTATAGGAGCCTTTGAACCAAGTGAGAGAGTAATTGTGGTAGGGGCCCTGAATGCTAAAGTAGGAGAAACTTTTAGAGAGGGTGTGGTAGGTAAGTTTGGGTACCAGGTGTAAATGAAAATGGGAGCCCTTTGTTTGAACTTTGTATAGAAAGGGGTTTAGTTATAGGTAATACATATTTTAAGAAAAGAGGATAAATAAGTATACAAGATATGATGTAGGGCGAAATGACAGTAGTTTGTTGGATTATGTATTGGTAGAAAAAAAGACTGTTGAGTAGGGCTTCAGGATGTACATGTTTATAGAGGGGCCACAGATATATCAGATCACTTTCTAGTTGTAGCTACACTGAGAGTAAAAGGTAGATGGGATACAAGGAGAAAAGAAGCATCAGGGAAGAGAGAGGTGAAGGTTTATAAACTAAAAGAGGAGGCAGTTAGGGTAAGATATAAACAGCTATTGGAGGATAGATGGGCTAATGAGAGCATAGGCAAAAAGGGTTTGAAGAGGTATGGGGTAGGTTTTTAAAAATGTAGTGTTGAGTGTTCAGCAGAAGTTTGTGGTTACAGGAAAGTGGGTGCGGGAGGAAAGAGGAGCGATTGGTGTAATGATGATGTGAAGAGAGTAGTAAGGGAGAAAAAGTTAGCATATGAGAGTTTTACAAAGGAGAGAAGTGATGCAAGGAGGGAAGAGTATATGGAGAAAAAGAGGGGAGGTTAAGAAAAGTGGTGAAGCAATGTAAAAAGAGAGCAAATGAGAGAGTGGGTGAGATGTTATCAACAAATTTTGTTGAAAATAAGAAAGTTTTGGAGTGAGATTAACAAGTTAAGAAATGCCTAGAGAACAAATGGGATTTGTCAGTTAAAAATAGGAGAGGGAGTTATTAAATGGAGAGTTAGAGGTATTGGGAAGATGGAGGGAATATTTTGAGGAATTGTTAAATGTTGATGAAGATAGGGAAGCTGTGATTTTGTGTATAGGGCAAGGAGGAACAACATCTTGAAAGGGGTGAGGAAGAGCCCGTTGTGAGTGTGGGGGAAGTTCGTGAGGCAGTAGGTAAATGAAAGGGGTAAGGCAGCCGGGATTGATGGGATTTAAAAATAGAAATGTTAAAAGCAGGTGGGGATATAGTTTTGGAAATGGTTGGTTGCAATTATTTAATAAATGTATGGAAGAGGGTAAGGTACCTAGGGATTGGCAGAGGGGCATGCATAGTTCCTTTGTATAAAGACAAAGGGGATAAAAGAGAGTGCAAAAATTATAGGGGGAAAGTCTGTTGAGTATACCCGGCAAAGTGTATGGTAGAGTTATTATTGAAAGAATTAAGAGTAAGATGGAGAATAGGAGAGCGATGAACAAAGGCTTTAGGAAAGGTAGGGGGTGTGTGGACCAGGTGTTTTACAGTGAAACATATTAGTGAACAGTATTTAGATAAGGCTAAAGAGGTCTTTGTGGCATTTATGGATTTGGAAAAGGCGTATGACAGGGTGGATAGGGGGGAAATGTGGCAGATGTTGCAGGTGTATGGTGTAGGAGGTAGGTTACTGAAAGCAGTGAAGAGTTTTTACGAGGATAGTGAGGCTCAAGTTAGAGTATGTAGGAAAGAGGGAAATTATTTCCCAGTAAAAGTAGGCCTTAGACAAGGATGTGTGATGTCACCGTGGTTGTTTAATATATTTATAGATGGGGTTGTAAGAGAAGTAAATGCGAGGGTCTTAGCAAGAGGCATGGAGTTAAAAGATAAAGAATCACACATAAAGTGGGAGTTGTCACAGTTGCTCTTTGCTGATGACACTGTGCTCTTGGGAGATTCTGAAGAGAAGTTGCAGAGATTGGTGGATGAATTTGGTAGGGTGTGCAAAAGAAGAAAATTGAAAGTGAATACAGGAAAGAGTAAGGTTATGAGGATAAAAAAAAAGATTAGGTGATGAAAGATTGGATATCAGATTGGAGGGAAAAGAGTATGGAGGAGGCGAATGTATTCAGATATTTGGGAGTGGACGTTTTCAGCAGATGGGTCTATGAAAGATGAGGTGAATCATAGAATTGATGAGGGGAAAAGGGTGAGTGGTGCACTTAGGAGTCTGTGGAGACAAAGATCTTTGTCCTTGGAGGCAAAGAGGGGAATGTATGAGAGTATAGTTTTACCAACGCTCTTATATGGGTGTGAAGCATGGGTGATGAATGTTGCAGCGAGGAGAAGGCTGGAGGCAGTGGAGATGTCATGTCTGAGAGTAATGTGTGGTGTGAATATAATGCAGAGAATTCATAGTTTGGAAGTTAGGAGGAGGTGCGGGATTACCAAAACTGTTGTCCAGAGGGCTGAGGAAGGGTTGTTGAGGTGGTTCGGACATGTGGAGAGAATGGAGCGAAACAGAATAACTTCAAGAGTGTATCAGTCTGTAGTGGAAGGAAGGCGGGGTAGGGGTCGGCCTAGGAAAGGTTGGAGGGAGGGGGTAAAGGAGGTTTTGTGTGCGAGGGGCTTGGACTTCCAGCAGGCATGCATGAGCGTGTTTGATAGGAGTGAATGGAGACAAATAGTTTTTAATACTTGACGTGCTGTTGGAGCGTGAGCAAAGTAACATTTATGAAGGGGTTCAGGGAAACCGGCAGGCCGGACTTGAGTCCTGGAGATGGGAAGTACAGTGCCTGCACTCTGAAGGAGGGGTGTTAATGTTGCAGTTTAAAAACTGTAGTGTGAAGCACCCTTCTGGCAAGACAGTGATGGAGTGAATGATGGTGAGAGTTTTTCTTTTTCGGGCCACCCTGCCTTGGTGGGAATCGGCCAGTGTGATAATAAAAAAAAAAAAAAAAAAAAAAAAACTCTAACATGTATAACTTGGATGCTGAGTGAATCTAAATCATTATCAGTATTTCCCATTACTTTACCATCAAATACTCTGTCAATCTCATGAAGCCATGATGCAACACATTAACACAAACTTATCTTTATTACCTTTCATAATAGCTTTACTTGGAAAAGAAACCACCTTACTACCTTGCGTGCCAACCAGCGCTTATCTCTCTTTCGGACAAATGCAACAAGTGCTCTGACTTCTTCATTAAACTGCCTGCGGGCCTTTTGACGAGCCTTATTGTTATCCTTCTCAATTTTCTAAAAACAAAATACAAAGAGCATTAGGTAAGTAAATAAATATAAAGTTTCATTTTACCATGAATAACCATTAAAAAAAGCTGCAAAAGTTCAAGTATTCATACACATTTACTTATCATAAAGAGAAACTGTCTTTTAAATTTCTGTCATTTAAACCTCATAATAAACAAAATTGTAATTACAGTTGCAGTATCTTCCATTTATAAAAAAAAAAATTACTATAAAAGGAACATTGTGAATCTGAATTAACAAATTCAGTTACTGAAACAGTTGTACCTACTTTCTCTACCCAGCGTCCCATTCGCTGTGCTTCACGGATATCAAACTCATCAGCCCAATGGAAATCCATTGATGTGCAATAACTTGACCAATAACCATAAAATTCAGCTACATCCTATAAAAAAATAAACAATTTAATATATATACATGAGAAGTACTGTACAATGCCTACACCATGAAAAGTAGAGGTGCCATAAACATAGTTATGATACAGCATCAGCATCTGAGGTCCTTAGCTCTTCAACTTTCTATCAACAAATATAAGAAATAATGCCAGCACAAAAACAAGAGATCTTTAAAAGGAAACTAGAAATATTATTTGTGATCTGTAAATAAACTGGCAGATTTTCACGATACTGCATAGTACTGGATTTTGTTTAAAAAATAAAGTGCAATAGTTTATTACACTGCATAAGTAATAAAGTCAACAGTCATTAGATACAGAATATACAATATTAAAGAAAGGCATTGTTATAGGTAAAACAAATAGTGAATGTGAAAAGCACATGAACCTGCAAAGAGCTGCAAACAAATTTTGCAAATACAGAGACGCACAGCACTTACAGTATTGTGACTAAGCATGCTAAATTATTTAAATTAGATATACATGTATTTCAACTGCCTAACTTAATGCCTCAGAATGAACAGGGTATGCAATTTTTCAATCTGTACCAAAATTCAGCAGCTTAACCCAGCCTTGCTAAAATTTTACGTAATACATATAGCATATGTATTGCTTAATAATGTCTAACAAATATGAAGCTGACATGGTATTAGTTATCATTATTTACAATAATTATATATATTTTTTTATAACAATAAAAAGCAAGCTACATCTTAGTACATTAGAAGGAGCACAAATGAGAGATACCTAATGAGGGAATGGCTACTCTGTGTTAGATACGAGTAGTGTTATTGTGACCAGTGACCATGCTGACTTGTCAATTTATTTCTAATTCATCCATTAACAAAGATCTCTGTCATCAAATAAAATTGCCTTTATAATGGCTGTCAGGAACAAAACTGTCTAAAAGACTGCTTAAAAACATAAATGTACTTTAACAAAATATACTGGTTAGTATTTTAAATAAAAAAAAAAACATTCAGATGGGCATTTGAAGTTGTAATCTAGACACTGAAAACTACAGAGTAATATCGAAGAAATAAAAAATGCAAAGCAAATGTACGCGTATGATGATGATGATAATAATAATAATAATAATAAAGTGGTACCCAGAGTTTCTAACATGCAAGATTTCAGTTATGTCTTGCTACTTCTTCTTACACTTAGGTCACACTACACATACATGTACAAGCATATACTATATATATATATACACACACCCCTCTGGGTTTTCTTCTATTTTCTTACTACTTCTTGTTCTTGTTTATATACTGTGATCTCCATGGGGAAGTGGAACAGAATTCTTCCTCCGTAAGCCATGCGTGTTGTAAGAGGCGACTAAAATGCAGGGAGCAAGGGGCTAGTAATCCCTTCTCCTGTATAAATTACTAAATTTAAAAAGAGAAACTTTTTTTTTTTTTTGGGCCACCCTGCCTCGGTGGGATATGGCCGGTTTGTTGATCAAGTATTTACATTGAAACATATATGTGAACAGTATTTAGATAAAGGAAAGGAAGTTTTCATTGCATTTATGGATTTAGAAAAGGCATATGATAGTGTGTATAGGGGAAGCAATGTGGCAGATGTTGCAAGTACATGTATATGGAATAGGTGGTAAGTTACTAAATGCTGTAAAGAGTTTTTATGAGGATAGTGAGGCTCAGGTTAGGGTGTGTAGAAGAGAGGGAGACTACTTCCCGGTAAAAGTAGGTCTTAGACAGGGATGTGTAATGTCACCATGGTTGTTTAATATATTTACAGATAGGGTTGTAAAAGAAGTAAATGCAAGGGTGTTCAGGAGAGGGGTGGAATTAAATTATGGGGAATCAAATACAAAATGGGAATTGACACAGTTACTTCTTGCTGATGATACTGTGCTTATGGGAGATTCTAAAGAAAAGTTGCAAAGGTTAGTGGACGAGTTGGGAGAGTGTTTAAAGGTAGAAAGTTGAAAGTGAACATAGAAAAGAGTAAGGTGATGTGGGTATCAAATGATTTAGATAAAGAAAAATTGGATATCAAATTGGAGACGAGGGGTAAGGAAGAAGTGAATGTTTTCAGATATTTGGGAGTTGACGTGTCAGCGGATGGATTTATGAAGGATGAGGTTAACCATAGAATTGATGAAGGAAAAAAGGTGAGTGGTGCATTGAGGTATATGTGGGGCAAAAAACATTATCTATGGAGGCAAAGAAGGGAATGTATGAAAGTATAGTGGTACAAACACTCTTACATGGGTGTGAAGCTTGGGTTGTAAATGCTGCAGCGAGGAGGTGACTGGAGGCGGAGGAGATGTCCTGTCTAAGGGCAATGTGTGGTGTAAATATTATGCAAAGAATTCAGAGTATGGAAATTAGGAGGTGTAGAGTTAATAAAAGTACAGTGGACCGCCGGTTTACGATATTATTTCATTCCAGAAGTATGTTCAGGTGCCAGTACTGACCGAATTTGTTCCCATAAGGAATATTGTGAATTAGATTAGTCCATTTCAGACCCCCAATCATACACATACAAATGCACTTACATAAATACACTTACATAATTGGTCGCATTGGGAGCTGATCGTAAACCGGGGGTCCACTGTATCAGCCATAGGGCTGAAGAGGGGTTGCTGAGGTGGTTTGGTCATTTAGAGAGAATGGATCAAAGTAGAATGACATGGAGAGCGTATAAATCTGTAGAGGAAGGAAGGTGGGGCAAGGGTCATCCTCGAAAAGGTTGGAGGGAGGGGGTAAAGGAGGTTTTGTGGGCGAAGGGCTTGGACTTCCAGAAAGCATGCGTGAGCATGTTAGATAGGAGTGGATGGAGACAAATGGTATTTGGGACCTGACGAGCTATTGGATTGTGAGCAGGGTAATATTTAGTGAAGGGATTCAGGGAAACCGGTTGTTTTTATATAGCTGGACTTGAGTACTGGAAATGGGAAGTACAATGCCTGCACTTTAAAGGAGGGGTTTGGGATATTGGCAGTTTGGAGGGATATGTTGTATATCTTATGTGTATATGCTTCTAAACTGTTGTGTTCTGGGCACTTCTGCAAAAACAGTGATTATGTATGAGTGAGGTGAAAGTGTTGAATGATGAAAGTATTTTCTTTTTGGGGATTTTCTTTCTTTTTGGGTCACCCTGCCTCGGTGGGAGACGGCCAACTTGTTGGAAAAAAAAAAAAAAAAATGTACAAGGTATACAGGCCTAGCTGACATCAATGACATATTACTACATCGAAAGCCCCTTGTTATGCAGAGCATTTCGGGCAAATTAGATCAATTTTGCCAAAGGATGTGACCCACACTAATCAACTAACACCCACGTACCCACTTTACTGATGGGTGAACACAGGCGACAGGTGTAAGGAAACACGCTCAATGTTTCTACCCTTGCCAGGAATTGAACCCAGGACCACTTGCAGTGTGAAGTGAGAGCTCTTGCCACCAGGCCATGGACCTGGCAGATTAATCTTCTAAACTTCAGTTTCCTTTCATTCAGTGGCCTGTATTCCTAAAAAGCAGAGTAAACATTGCTGACTCTATAAAAATTCTTCCCTTTGAAATTAAATTATTTATTTATTATTTATTAGCACACTGGCCGATTCCCACCAAGGCAGGGTGGCCTGAAAAAGAAAAACTTTCACCATCATTCACTCCATCACTGTCTTGCCAGAAGGGTGCTTTGCACTACAGTTTTTAAACTGCAACTTGAGTCCTGGAGATGGGAAGTACAGTGCAGGCACTGTACTTCCCATCTCCAGGACTCAAGTCCGGCCTGCCGGTTTCCCTGAATCCCTTCATAAATGTTACTTTGCTCACGCTCCAACAGCACGTCAAGTATTAAAAACCATTTGTCTCCATTCACTCCTATCAAACACGCTCACGCATGCCCGCTGGAAGTCCAAGCCCCTCGCACACAAAACCTCCTTTACCCCCTCCCTCCAACCTTTCCTAGGCCGACCCCTACCCCGCCTTCCTTCCACTACAGACTGATACACTCTTGAAGTCATTCTGTTTCGCTCCATTCTCTCTACATGTCCGAACCATCTCAACAACCCTTCCTCAGCCCTCTGGACAACAGTTTTGGCAATCCCGCACCTCCTCCTAACTTCCAAACTACGAATTGTCTGCATTATATTCACACCACACATTGCCCTCAGACATGACATCTCAACTGCCTCCAGCCTTCTCCTTGCTGCAACATTCATCACCCATGCTTCACACCCATACAGGAGTGTTGGTAAAACTATACTCTCATACATTCCCCTCTTTGCTTCCAAGGACAAAGTTCTTTGTCTCCACAGACTCCTAAGTGCACCGCTCACCCTTTTCCCCTCATCAATTCTATGATTCACCTCATCTTTCATAGACCCATCCGTTGACACGTCCACTCCCAAATATCTGAATACATTCATCTCCTCCATACACTCTCCCTCCAATCTGATATCCAATCTTTCATCACCTAATCTTTTTGTTATCCTCATAACCTTACTCTTTCCTGTATTCACTCTCAATTTTCTTCTTTTACATACCCTACCAAATTCATCCACCAACCTCTGCAACTTCTCTTCAGAATCACCCAAGAGCACAGTGTCATCAGCAAAGAGCAACTGTGACAACTCCCACTTTATGTGTGATTCTTTTATCTTTTAACTCCACACCTCTTACCAAGACCCTCGCATTTACTTCTCTTACAACCCCATCTATTATTAATATATTATTTAACTGTATGCTGCATTCTGTGCTTTTATTTATCTGTGAATTTAAACCTGGTGCAACTGGAATGCAGATTTTAGAAACTTGCAAGACAGGAGAGTTTTTCACTTGAAAATCTGTCCCTTAAATATGCAACATTCAATTTGCAGCTGTCTCTTCTGCCTTCTTCCAGTGTTTTTAAAATGATAACACTACCAGACATAGAATGCAATCTATTAATTAAACTTATATTTATCCACTTGGAGTATGTGCAGGGTAACATTTATGAAGGGATTCAAGAAAACTGGCTAGCTGGACTCGAGTCCTGAAGGTGGAAAGTACAGTGCCTGAACTCCGAAGAAGGGGTGAGGATATTGCAGCCTGGAGGGCCACCTGAAATGTGATGTCACAAAGCTTCTGGCAAGAAAGTATTTTTCCCAAAATTCATATACTACAGTAAATAGAATTTGGATCCATTTGACATACTGTGAAAAGTATTCTGATGATGGAAATTTTCCCTTAATAAATGTTGCCATCACTTAGCAGAATTCCTTTTACTAGAGATTTGGGTCATGAAAGCACTGTGTACTCGCAGTCCTCCTTCCCTCCCCAACAACTATGTCTGTAGAGTGCACTTACTTTGCTTTGAGATGGACTAAAACTTACTCCAAAAAATTCTCAGTCAAGAAAGATATTAAATTATTTTAAGAATGGCAGAGAACTAAACAAAAAGGTTATTTATTGCCTGAGGAATGAGAAGTATTCAGGTTTAATCTAAGGAAGAGGGCAGCTCAAATTTCCTGTATCAAGGGTCCTTCACCAGCCTCAAGACACCTTAAAAGGCACCTTAATGGAAGGAAAAAGATTGCAAAGCTTAGCCTTTCTATCAATTGATAAAGAATTTGTGTAGGATCTTCAGAGCAAGCCAGAATTTTACATCAAAGTTACTAATCATCTTGCTTATAAGCCAAGAAGCATTCCACTGAGCTATGCTTAAAATGGCAGGTTACTGTATTTCTGATTTTGTTATATGAATCGCTTAAAACAAATTTTAATTAATGTTCAAGGTTCAACTTTATCAAAAAGTTTAAGCATCACTGACCTATCCGAGCACTGTTTCAATACAAGCCACTACATACAGTTTATACTCATTTTTATTTCCATGAGAACAAGGTGTTAGTTACCCATTTTATGTATAATTACTAATGAAGATATTTTGTGTTTTCCACTTTGGGTCACCCTGGCTGAGTGGAAAATGAACTGAAAATGAATCTGTAAAGCATTTTGTTCATTTCTGGAACTCAAGTACAGTACTGAACACCAAATATTACTGTAGTCCATTGTATGATACTGTACCTCTAAATCAGTGTCACTGGAGCCAAAGTTTGGTATAATTATTTCTTCCTCGTCATCCATATACTGCATGTCCTTGGCAGCAATCTTCTCAAACACTTGCCTAGTAAATACGAGAAAAACCATTAGTATGTCACTTGTCATCAATGAATGAAGCAAACACATTAACTAACGTACAAGATTTTTATGTTTGAAACTGATTTTCACAATAAAATGTTACTGTGATTCACATGGAGGTACTGGAAAGATGGGGAGGATATTTTGATGAGATGTTCAATGTTAATGAAGGGGAAGCGGTGATTTCATGCATTACAAGCCTTACTCCTATACTATGATATAGTGTTAAAATGGGTGGTGTATTTGTTCAATATATCCATGAAATAAGAGAAGGAGCCTAAGGATTGGCAGATAGCAAGCATAGTTCCCTTGTATAAGGAAAAAAGAAGACAAGAGAGAATGTAAGGAGCAAGGAAGTTTTAGAAAAACTGAGGATGTGTATACCAGATATTAGTAATGATAATAGCAATAGATTATATAGAAAATATTAAGTTCTATGTAGTATTAAAGACACGTGCTTCTTACAATGAGCTGCAATAATGTTTCAACTTAAAAAATCAAACATTTCTTTGTAAATTACAGACCTAGGCAAGGGATACAGTTTGCATAATGTACATACACAGCAGTATTTTAACATAGCCCATATTAAATACAGCATTTTGGCAAGATTTATTCTTATAACACAATCAAAGATACACAAGAACAAAAAGATACAAAATTAGAACTTTAGGTAAGTACAGCAAATCATCACCTCATTAGACAAGGGATTACACATACAAAAAAGTTTTAAATTATACAAAAAATAGAATGTATCTCTATATGGTAGCTGTTAGCTACGATAAAATAATGTTATAAAGTAAAGCATGTTTCAAAGTACATGGAAGACTAAGGAAGTTCTGAGATGAGTCTGAGTAATGGCAGGGAGTCAAATCATTATATTTTGATATTAGTTAGTATAGAGCATTGAAAAATGCACACATGGATTGAGCCATTATATTCAATCCAGTAATTAGAAAATATTCTTTTTAGTAATTATTACAGGAAAAGGGGTTACTAGCCCATTGTTCCCGGCATTTTAGTTGACTTTTACAACACGCATGGCTTACGGAGGAAAGATTCTTATTCCACTTCCCCAGGGATATAAAAGGAAAAATAATAAGAACAAGAACTATTAAGATAAAATCAAAGAAAACTCAGACGAACATGTATAACTAAACTTGTACATGAATGTGTAGTGTGACCTAAGTGTAAGTAGAAGTAGCAAGACGTACCTGTAATCCTGCATATTTATGCGACAGACAAAAGACACCAGCAATCCTACCATCATGTAAAACAATTACAGGCTTTCGTTTTACACTCACTTGGCAGGATGGTAGTACCTCCCTGGGTGGTTGCTGTCTACCAATCTACCTCGGTGGGAGACGGCCAACTTGTTAAAAAAAAAAAGAAAAAACAAAACAAAAAAATTAGAAAATACAAGGGAAGTTTTTACCTGTATATAGTATAGAAGCCTTTTTCAGAATCATTGAAGCCAGAATAACACTGAGATGAAAAGTACTCAAACAGATCTACAGTTTCTGGTTTAGGATCCGAGCCAGAAGCTGGAAAGAAACGATTACAAATGTTAACACTCATGAAATTATAAACTGAAAAGAGCACAGCTAAACAATAAAAAAATTCCCTTCTAAGGGACATAATTCCATTTCATGAGAACCTAGAAAAGAAATACTGAAGGAGGAAATATGAGTACAGACGCTAACTATGATAACCGAGCTTGAGTACACATAGTGTATGTTTTTTTTGTTTTTTTTAAGCACATTTGCCTTCTCCCACAGAAGTAGGGTGACCCCAAGAAAGAAGAAACACTTTCACAATCGCTCCAACTCCATTTTTCCAGAGGTGTGCTGACATTACATTATTATTATTATTCTTTCTTCTTTCAACAAATCGGCCATTTCCCACTGAGGCAGGGTAGCCTAAAAAGAAAAACAAAAGTTTCTTCTTTTTAACTTTAGTAGTGTATACAGAAGAAGGGGTTACTAGCCCCTTGCTCCCGGCATTTTAATCACCTACGACACACATGGCTTACGGAGGAAGAATTCTGTTCCACTTACCCATAGAGATTATTATTATAATAAAAAAGAAGCACTAAACCCAGATGCCCCTCCAAACTACGATACATATATCCACCTCTCCTTCACAGATAAGATAAGAGCATTCTACCTCCCATAAAATCTGTATACTAAATAAAATAAATTTATTTGTTCACTTATAAAAGAGTTGGCATCTATTTAATTATATTTAGGACTTTCATTACACAAGCAATATTTCCATAAGCATTCATTAAGAAAAGTATTGCACTACATCAAGTACTTGTCAAACTAATAATTTTTAATTTTGACAAAATTCTTAGTTTTTGTTATTCTTATAATAAAATCCAACAATAATTATTATAAAATGAAGTGTGTGTGGAGGCTTTATTTAAAAAAAATTATGTAGTACTTGTACCTTTGCCTCTAAGGATGCTTTCCCTGTTACGGTCATAGAAGGCTCTCTCTTGTGGGTCCGAGAGCGTATCGTACGCAGCCTGAATTAACTGAAATTGAACTTTTGCTTCTTCCATATTGTCTGGGTTCTTGTCTGAAATAAGAATATTATGTTAAAACTAAAAGATGGAAAGTAAATACATGAATGCCACTTGTCTTTACACTAAGAATACATATATACAACAATGAACTACACAAAAGCTAGATGCAACTGTCTCACCTGGATGCCAAACTAGAGCCATCTGGCGGTAGGCTTTCTTCAGGTCACTATCTGTGGCCCTCTGGGAAACCCCTAACACCTCATAGTGACACCTCATTTTGGTATTATACTTGAGAGTTTTGCCTGCAATTAAAGAGGGATTATTATAGATGAAATTTATTGGTTATAAATGAAGGCTGCTCTTTGGCAAAAATTAGACATTTTATATTTTACATTGTGTATCAACTACATCCATAGAATAAACAATTATTTCTTGTGAAGATTTTTAGTATAGGAGTTATCAGCAAAAATAACATATTTTATGGCACAAGCAGCATGTCAGAGCCCAGCAATGTTTATTAATGTGGCTTGGCCAATCAGTGAACATAAACAGTGGCCAGTGAATGTGCCTATATTTGTACTATCATATTATGTATCAAATTACATATATCTACTGTAACTTCTCTATGGCTCATAATTTTTGGTTTAGAAATAACTGAAAGTGCTTCACCAAGTATATCAGAAGAAATATATATTAACCACATAATCTCATAAGCATTTGCAAAACTAACAGAGCTACTCTGAAAAACCTTCTGAAAGAATTATTTAGGACATTATATATGTAAGAACAGTAAAGCACTACAGTAGGTCTACTGGATCATGCTACAAGTCTTAAACTTATGTTTGGTCCTTCTTGCAGTATGAGGCACAACATACATTATTATTACTGTTATAATCATGGGGAAGTGGTAAACCAGTAGGGGTCATACAGTGCCTAAGGAATGGGAGGTAATCAAGTTTGATAAAGGGAAGAAAGTAAATGTCTTGGATAATAAGGGGCTTTCTATAAAGTAATTTATATATGCCCATTACCCTAATTGTAATGTACTGTAATTAACTTTATAGAAAGTTTGTATGATAGCTCATTCCTTGGATTAAGAGCCCTTTACATTCATCGAGGCACCCATCTTGAAGGGTATGCCAATGTCTGATCAAGAAAAGTGGTCTGCAATGAGAATAGCACCAATACCGAGGAAGGTGGACCATACCATAATAGACTAAAAGAGATGATCAGTGGGGAATACAATCATAACACCTGCAGTGCAGTCAACTCAACTGAATGTAAAGGTTACAATGTGCAATTACAATTTTGATTTGCTAAGTACAAAGGTAGCCACTATCATGCCGGGGCATTTTGGGGAGGCAATTCTCCTTACACCCAATACCACTATTCACCCTTGGTAAAAATGTACATGGGAGTTAGTCAACAGCTGTGGGTCACATCCTTGGGAATGGTCAAGTAAGTTTATTTAAGCACAGGTACAAATAAGTACAATTATCATACACAGTGTAAATTACCTAGGATAACCCCCAAAAAGTCAAAGTAACTTATTTCACTGAGGAACTGTACTGTCACCCAAATGACATAATGACGCACTATCTATGCCCACGAAAGAAAGTAACTCGGCTGACAGTGCACTAAGCTCTCACACCGAGTATTCGTGGTTCGATCTCCGGTACAGGTGAAAACATTGGCCGTGTTTCCTTAAGACACTTGTCCACATTCACCTAGGTACACGAGTGTTGGCAACTGGTGTGGGTTGCAACCTGGGGGACAAAATTAACCTAATTTCCAGGAAATGCTCTGCATAACAAGAGGCTTTCTATATAGTATGTCAATGATGTTTGCTATGGTCTGTATGTTGTCTAAATAAATTATTATTATTATTATAATAAAAAAGAAGCGCTAAGCCATGTCGAAATAAAGATTATTATTATTATTATATTTACAACCCTAAACTAATAGGATTAATATAGCTAATGCTGATAGGCTGTTTGAGATGTAATGAGGCTGCCAGGGGATATAAATAGCAACTAAAAATGAAGATAGAGCAACTCGATATTAGGAAGTACTTTTTTCTCCATTAGTGAGAGTGGAAGGCACTACAAAGTGGAGGCAACCAATATACACAGCTTCACGATCATGTATGACTGGGCTTTGGGGACCAGGAGTCATCACATTAGGTAATAGATAAGTGATGTAGTTACCTGTGACCTTCTCAAAGCTCAATAACTAAGTTTATTCAGGTACAGGTACACACATACACACCTACATAAATTATCATACATAGCAGCATACATGTAAATACATATAACACCAGAAAAGTCAAACAAAGTGGCTTATTTCCATTGGGATTATTGAAAATGAAAATAGATTATCTTAATGTATATTATATTTTCCTGGTAAGTTCACTTGCAGCTGGTGCTGTCAATAATATATATGTAAATCTCACCCGAGGACGGGGAGGGGGCTCTTTTGTGTGTCTTACAGGTGAACTATGACTCTTAATGCACAACAAGATCTCTTACCTGAGTATGTTATACTTGAGAAATCCTTCTAAGGTAAGAGTAATGCCAGGAACGTGTTGCAAGACGTCCACTCACCAGCGGCCACGTTCACTCACTAACTTATATTCAGATTTTAGATTTTAGATTCTTCTGCAATATCACTGCATTATAAAATACTATACAATAGTCAATAAGAACACAGAAGCTCAATATAACCGGTGAAACTTATTTTAGTAATAATAATATAATAATATAATTAACAAAAAGGCACAATACCGTGACTGGAACGATACACAAATAACCCGCACATAAAAGAGAGAAGCTTACGACGACGTTTCGGTCCGACTTGGACCATTGACAAAGTCACACTGTATTATTTGTGTATAATAATAATAATAATAATAATAATATAATAATAATAATAATAATAATAATAATAATAATAATAATAATAATAATAATAATAATAATAATAATAATAATAATAATAATAATAATAATAATAATAATAATAATAATAATAATAATAATAATAATAATAATAATAATAATAATAATAATAATAATAATAATAATTAATATATATTAATATATAATAATAATAATAATAATAATAATTATATTATTATTATTATTATTATTATATTATTATTACTATTATTATTATTATTATTCGTCTCACTATTTTTGTTTACCTTATTAATAATAAGTTTGGGATTATTAATGGAATGATACTTGGCAATTTGCAACTTTTTTTAATTATCATTAATACAATCAAAGTTAAGCACTAAACCCACAAGCGCTATTTCTTTTTAATTATTCTTATTACAATCAAACCTAATCGCTAAACCCACAAGGATCAAAGAGCGTTATTTCTTTTTTTTCAGAATTGTGGCACATTTCCCTGTTATATTGACTATGCCTCATTTGAAAGTCTTTAATCGTTAATGGCCTGATAAGAACATAAAGGAGCACTGCAGGAGGCCTACTGGACCATGCTAGGCAAGTCCAAATCACCCATTGGCCCAGTCTAGGTTTAACCTTATTTTTAAAACTACATGACGTTTTATCTTCAATGACGTTACTCGGGAATTTGTTCCACTCATCTACAACTCTATTATCAAACCAATTATAATTATTATTATTATTATTAGTATTGTTATCATTATTGTTATTATTACGTATAATAAAAAAGAAATGCTAAACCAAACCAATGCTTTCCTATATCCATGTAAATGTTCAAACCTGAACAAACTGCTCTGAGTTGTCTTGGTTGGATATTTTTAGTGTTATTTACATCCCCTTTATTTATTCCTATTTTCCATTTATATACCTCAGTCATTTTTTTAATACGTCGGCAGTTTTCCACAGAGGCAGGGTAACCCAGAAAGAAAAACCCCAAAAGAAAGAAAATAACTTTCATCATTCAACACTTTCACCATCACTCATACATAATCAGTCTTTGCAGAGGCGCTCAAATACGACAGTTTAAACGTCAATCCAAACTGCCAATATCCTAACCCCTTCCTTTAAAGTGCAGGCATTGTATTTCCCATTTCCAGGACTCAAGTCCAGCTAACCGGTGTTCCTGAATCCCTTCATAATCATATACCCCCTAATTCTATGCCTTTCTGGAAAGTACAGATATATAAATGGAAAATATGAATAAATAAAGGGGATGTAAATAACACTAAATATATCCTTCCGAGACAACTCAGAGCAATCTGTTCAGGTTTGAATAATTTAGGTGGATATAGGAAAGCATTGGTTTGGTTTAGCGCTTCTTAGGAAAGATTTCTGATACATGGCCCCATGGGATCAACTTTGTCATCCTTCTTTGTACGTTTTCCAGTACATTTATATCCATTTAGATAATGGATATCAGAGAAGAATACTCTGTAAGTTAAGGCTGCATGGGCACAAATTTGTACGATTGGGCACCTAAATTACTGGGAACGGTTGAAGGCCCTTGATCTGTATTCTCTGGAGAGCAGGCGAGAGATACATGATAATAGTATACATTTGGAAAATCCTAGAGGGATTAATACCAAACTTGCACACGAAAATCACTCCCTATGAAAGCAAAAGACTCGGCAGGAGATGCAACATTCCCTCAATGAAAAGCAGGTACACCACGAGTACACTGAGAGACAACACAATAAGTGTTCCAGGGCCCAAGACTGTTCATCTGCCTCCCAGCATACATAAGGGGGATTACCAATAGACCCCTGGCTGTCTTCAAGAAGGCACTGGACAGGCATGTAAAGTCAGTACCCAACCAACCGGGCTGTGGTTTGTACGTCAGTTTGCATGCAGCCAGCAGTAACAGCCTGGTTGATCAGACCCTGATCCACCACAAGGCCTGATCTCAGACTGAGTTGCGGGGGCATTGACCCCTGAAACTCTCTCCAGGTAAACTTAAAATGGTTGGAATCATTGATTACATTATTATAATAAAAACTAGGCACTAAACCCAGACGGGTCATCTGAATCATTGGATTCTGTGCAATTCCTGGAGAATGCCTCTTTGAATGTCTTCAGAACATGGGAACAAATACACCATTTGGCCCAACAACTTGACAAGACAATCATATTAAAGAGGATATCCTATATGGCTAGTTTTAACATTCACTAGTACAAAACATGAGGTTTAGTGGACACGATTCAAATATGAACTTAAAATGATGAATGTCAGAGAGAGGACTGGAACTCCTTGGAGTTTATCTCACACTGATAGGGTTGGCTATCTCCAAGCTAGGAGCATTAAGCACAGGAGCCTGGGTTTAGTGAAAACTTACCTGCAAGCTTTCATTCCCCCTATCTCCCTCAAGTAGCGCTGTATGACCCTAGTGGGTTTAGCGCTTCTTGATTATAATAATTTTCCCCCCTCAAGGGAAGTTTTTCTTGATGCTGGTGAGGGGCTCTTGATACAAGGAATTGAACCCAGTCCATTCTTTCTTGTATTGAGCATGCCTTCCATTATCCCAGAGGCTGTATGACTCTTACAGGTTTAGTGCTTCCCTTAATAATAATAATAATAATTAATGAATCTATTTTTACTCTACTGTAGATGTTGACCTGAGTGAAGAAACACAAACTCATTAGAAAGTTCTTTTTTGTCCATTCAGATGATGTAAAGAGCATGTACATGACTTCCAAAATGACAGACTAATCATCTGTGAAAGGCCTCAAGCTGCATACTTAAGGCATTTTGCTTTAGCAGTCACAGGACCATGAAGACAAAATTTATGAAAACGTATTAGCAATTCGGAAGTCAAGTCTTCTCAGCCATGGCCTCTGGTATAGAAAACTGAAGGCATTACAACCTATATTTTTTACTGTAGCTTGCAATCCCTTCTCATCAAAAACAAGTGCCAAATAAATAGAGACCAGTTCTCAAAATCATTTCTCACTAAACCATTTTTATTTGATTGACCCTCAATACAAAAATACAGTACCTGATTATTATACTGCAGTACTGTACTAGGATAACTTTTTATGCAAGTTTGTAATCGTCAAAGAGTGCTTAAGCGAGTAATTTTTCTGGATAATGATTACAAGAACATATGTTTTATTCTATATTTTAACAATGTTATAAAACATGTAGATGAAAATAAATAAACAATAATAAATAATGTTTATGTACAAAAGGCACTGGGATCACAGAGAACAATTATTGTCCAGTGAAACTTCCACTATATATAATTAGAAAATAATATTCAGCTGCTATAAAGTCTCATTACAGACAACTACAAACATTTATTAACTAATGCTCAGCAGTAATTTCCTTTAGATGACCTTTCAAACTGATTATAATCCAACTACGATCAGTTGCAAAAAATTTGAGGCACTCGATAAAATACAATTATCCTGCAAGTCCATTACTTTTCAAAATTGTCACTAACTGATGTAGCCACAGTATTATAAAAGACAATTTGCATGCAGCTTATGTTCATATCAGTTATTAACTTAAATTTCTGGCTAATACTGTACACACATTACAACTTTTATAAATGCACAAAAAAGAACAATAGTTCTACATTCTGTACCTTATCTAAATATTATACGTTTCCTGTAATAATTGTTTATTTTATGTAGTGTTCAAGCATAATTGCTGAATTTAGGAGACAGTATTATTGGTTACTGTATAGTTTAATAAGACAGGAGTGCACAGTACAGCCTAGTATACTGCGTATCTATAAAATTAAGCATTTTATCTAAAGACACCTAAAAAATGTCTTCGGACCAGGGGAAAATGAAATATCTCCTATCTTTATAAAGCTATAAACACAACAGAAATTAAAACTTCTTGAAAATAAAAATACAATGTTTAGTTTTACTCACCTCTAGCAGTATGGTATTTTAATACATACATATATATAATGCAACAATGATTTTTTTAACTTTTTACCATAAAGAAAGGATATTTCTAAATGTGAAGTACTGTATCAAAATATTGCACTGTATGTAATTTTTTTCTGAATAAAGACAACTCAGATTACTGGTTCTCAGACAGCAATATCAAAACTACGAAAAATACTAAAATCCTATTAACTAACTTGTATACACAAGAACTTTTCAAAGGTGACATGGAAACATAAATTCACATAACTTAAAATTCCCCTGCTAAATGTTAGCATGAGGAATAAAACCTAATACATACAGTATTTAAGAAATTGAAAAAAAAATAATAAAATAAAAAAAATAAAAAGCATTGTTTCACACTGGAAGGGTTGCACTAAAAATGTGCAGAAATAAGCTTTTTGTAAAAACCTTATAAAACTGTAGCATTTATTATACAGGTACAGTACAGTATATACTTTGGCTACAAAAAAATAGAAAGTTTTCTCATCTTGAGCATGACATATATCAACATATGCATTGTATCAGTAAGTTTCTTTCCAGACCTATGTAATATAGAACTGCATATCCAAATGCTATATGTTGTGTTTTCCAGTTGTCTATTGTCTTTAATATGGCAAAAGTCCCACTATGTATTTGTAGATACAGTACTACATAATATTAAGGGGCACATCTGTGTGCAGAAGAGAGGGAGACTACTTCCCGGTAAAAGTAGGTCTTAGACAGGGATGTGTAATGTTACTATGGTTGTTTAATATATTTATAGATAGGGTTGTAAAAGAAGCAAATGCTAGGGTGTTCGGGAGAGGGGTGGGATTAAATTATGGGGAATCAAATACAAAATGGGAATTGACACAGTTACTTTTTGCTGATGATACTGTGCTTATGGGAGATTCTAAA